CTAGGTACGAGCCTAAGATACGGTGGTTTAATACGTTGATGTTAACAGATATTTATAGATGTTACACAACACTACACGATATACAGAGGATATTTCATGTGTCCGGTGAAATATCCGGTTTCTCTCATCGAGTGACGGGGGAAAGGAGATATCCTTTTCCCCGTCACGAGATGAGAGAAACATGATACTTCACGAGACACATATAATATCCTATTTATTATATACTTTTTGTGTAGTTTTCTGCCGGGCTTGTTTTTAATTACAAATGTAAAACCTTGAAACGTAAATTCTCCCAACCTAACACCAGGGACGTTTCACCACCCAATGCAATTGCGATTTAAAAATTATTTCCGGGTTTTTTAAGTCTTAAAAGATAATAAACAAAAGTACCAAAATATATTTAGTTCGTTATCATACATTTGGATATGATTATCTACAAATCAACTTCAAATAAATATTCTTGAAAGCTACGACCTCTGTTGGGAAGCGAAGGAATACGCGCTGGTCGAGTAACAAAAATGGCTGGTCTATGGTGGCCGAGAGGGGGCATCGCTTTCTCGCTTTATCGCTTTATCGCTTTATCGCTTTATCGCTTTCTCGCTTTCTCGCTTTAATATCGCTTTATCGCTTTATCGCTCTATCGCTTTATCGCTTTCTCGCGGTTAGGCAATATCCCCTCTTGACCACTATAGGGGCCGCATGTGATATCTGCTGCAATTGGGAGGTAATGTTGAACTTTTCTCACTATTTACCGGTACTTAAAACATTATTTAACTGTAGAGACGTATGTGATTTTAAAACAATCCACCGAATTTTGCGTAAAATGTAATTGATTTATTTATGGCCCTATTCAGTTGTATGTGACCATCACGCCTAAAGCGCGTGGCAGATCATGTCAATACGCTCTAAATAAATCAGGTTAAAATCTAAATATATACAATATATATAAAGTTAAGAAGACTATGGTTAATTAGTCTTGGCTGATTGTTTTGCAAAAATACAATCTTATAATTGTGGGTGTTCTATAACTAGTTTTCGGTAGTATATGATGATACAGTGCATGTGTCATAAGGTTGTCCGTAAATGTTCTTTTTGACATTTGATGTATGTTTAACTTGAGTTGTGTTTCTTGTCTTGTGCAAATCTACAAATATATGTACTTGCATATAGTAATTTGATAAACACCGCTGTGAGTGAGTGAGAATGGTTTCACGTCGCTTTTAACAATAATCCAGTAATATCACGGGGAACACCAGACATGGGCTTCACACATTGTACCCATCTGGGGAATCGAACTAGGTCTTCGGCTTGACGATCGAACGCTTTAACCACTATAGGCTATCCCACTGCCCCCATCGCTGTGGCGTTACCACAGTTGATATGTGTACTTGTGTTAACTGCACATATGGAGAGACATAATTAGTATGGCCACATAGTTAAGGTTGATAACAATATGAAATGCATTACTATGATTATCTATAACAAATATTAAATCAGCTATCATTGTGATATGTTATGTATATCTTAAGTATAGTTTTGTCAAAATTATGTATGTGTGTGTGTGTGTGTGTGTGTGTGTGTGTGTGTGTGTGTGTGTGTGTGTGTGTGTGTGTGTGTGTGTGTGTGTGTGTGTGTGTGTTTGTGTGTGTGTCCGACTCATTGTCTGTGTAAAAAGGTAGTAGATAACTACATAACTCACATCAGAACTCACAATTGTTAACCATACAGTTTAAATGGATAGAGAATTGCTACATAAATATGTATATTCCTACCTGAGCCTATACTATAATTGGATATCTAGTCTCTCCTGGCGGGAAAGTTAAACTATATTTTACAAGCACTTTAGCATTAAATATTTCCCGAAGACAGTTTGATCGAAAGTCATTATAAGAAACGAGTTGTTTTAAAAAAATTATTTACGACGCATTTCATTTCTGTTGTCCAAGGAATGGGGTTACGGGTTAATGACGCTCGCGAAAGTCGTATATGTGACTTAAGGCAGAGACATGTATCTAATTCATCTGTATTTTGTAAAGGAAACATAACTGTGTACATGTACAACTTTTGTTTGCATAATGTGCATGCAACTTAATGAACATAATTGTGATCCCGAAATCGGACGAGCACATATTCGGCTTCAATTCCAAATCTAATGACCGAAAAAAATAATTCTTTGGACGTTATAAACAATGCAAACTGGCTAATAAAACTGACAATTATTTGTCAATATATGATCTCCTTTTTATCAGTTTTAAGATTAATGGAGGAATGAGGGGTGATACTATGAACAAAATGAAAATATGAACAGTGACTATCTGTATTCTGTGAATCTTGCTTATTTGTTACACTACAAGAAAATATACAAGCTGAACGAGAAAAAATTACGTGTGTATTTTGTAACATGTTTATCTACTACAAGATGTTTAAAAAATCTAATCATAAGAGGCAAAATAGCGGTGAGAATTACAGGAATGGATCACTAAATGTCAGCAAAAACGTTTTAATGTATGGCATTATGGGAAATATCGCTTTCTCGCTCTATCGCTTTCTCGCTCTATCGCTTTATCGCTTTATCGCTTTCTCGCTTTCTCGCTCTATCGCTTTATCGCTTTCTCGCTCTATCGCTTTCTCGCTCTATCGCTTTCTCGCTTTATCGCTTTCTCGCTCTATCGCTCTATCGCTTTCTCGTTCTATCGCTCTATCGCTTTCTCGCTTTCTCGCTCTATCGCTTCTTCTAATGACTAACCATAGTCATATGAAGGAATCGGGTGTTCTTTAACTTCTTTTGAATAGTATGTACTGTAAATCTTGGAATTGACGTAAAAATTAAATATAAATGCAAAAACATTAGCGTAGACATTATTACCATATTCGACGTAATAAGCGCCCAGGGCGAGAAAGCGATAGAGCGAGAAAGCGAGAAAGCGATGTCCCCTCTCGGCCACCATAAAGAAGCGATATTGACTCCATAAAATGACCATCTGTCATTATTTTGCTTTGTCATTGTTGAACTAACGTAAAAAGGACGTCAACTGTTTGTGTACGGGCAAGACACTTACGTTAAAGGGAGACAATTATAGGGGAGGTATAACAATAGTTCCGTCAAAGTGTCACGTTCCCTGCAGTGAAATATCAAGTGTTAAGTTCACTGCAATGAAAATATCACTTTTCTCAACTTCAGAAAACTCAGTCTTTCACACTGAAGTATATAATAAATATATAGAGGATATTCATGTGTCGAGTAAGGTATCATGTTTCTCTCCTCGAGTGACGGGGGGGGAGGAGATATTTTCATAAGTGGCGTAGCCACGAGTGAAAATATCTACTTTCCCCCGTTTCTCGATGAGAGAAACATGATGCTTCACGAGACACATGGTATATCCTATTTATTATTTACTTTTTGTGTAGCTATTTTCCGGAAAATAAAATTATTTCATTAAAAATGTAAAACCTTGAAACGTAAATTCTCCCTACCTAACACACAGGACGGTTCACCACCCCATGCGACTCAAAAAGTAGTTTCGTGTTTGAATATCATTAAAAAATATAAACAAAAGTAATCAAAGATAAATAGGGTCACGAAAATTTTGTATCATACATATAGATATGATTATATACAAAATCTACTTTAACACAAAATATTCTTCAAAACTACGAGACCGCGAAAGATTACACGCTGGTCAAGTAACAATAATGGCGATTTGTGAAAAGAACGGTCTCGATTGACGATTGAAATGAGAAATTTACAGTTTATAACGAAACATTTTCATTAGATTAACAAACGGCATGAAGCTATATCAACTCCATAAATGACCATATTTCATTATATTGCCTTGTCAATGTGGAACTAACGTAAAATGGAAGTCAACAGTTTGAGTACGGGCGAGACACTTACGATAAAGGGAGACAATTTGAGGGTCACTCTTGTATGACAATAGTTCCGTCTAAGTGTTATGTTCACTGCAGTGAAATATCAGGTGTTATGTTCGCTGCACTGAAAATATCACTTTTCTCAGGACCATGTAACTAATAATAACAATTACAAAAACTCGAAAAGACTATTATTTGTCTAATATTATTACTATTATTTGTTACATGTTGTTTGGCTCAATGAATACTCCAAAAAATAAAGTTATGTAAAAGTTTAAACGAATATATTTCTATAAATGAACATCGAGTATTTACGAAATTCTCAAACCTATCAGATGCTACTAATAAACACAGTGTTTTCACAAAGAATGCCATATGAAAAAAATGAGTCTTTGAACACTCTCAAATATACCCTTTATACGAAAAGCTAAGTAAATCAGCTCTAAACAACTGTTTGATACATGGTGCTTCTGTTAGGGACCGACCATTCTTTGTGTGTAAAAAACTGGAAGGTTTTATCCTCAGTTTGTACACACAAAAACTTGTTCGCTGGAAGAGATGTCCTAAGAATGTGTTTTGAATATAATATATTGTTTGGCTTCTTTCACAGACAAATATTGCGTGTTTTAAAGCGGTACATTACGTCCCCGTGTTTTCACATGAACCGTTCACATTAGTACATTACATGAGGAACATTTGGTAATAGGTCTATGTTTTAATGGGGGCTTAGTTGTCGAAAATATCTATATTTTACTGACGCTTCGTACGATTGAAACGACTTGTGATCACTTCACTTATGAGTAGGTTTGATATTGCCACGATGAATACAGTGCTAACTGACATCAATGGTTATATATGCATACAGAACAGGTGGTGCAAATTGGAAAGGCTTTTATCTATCTCATGTGTTACATTCAAAATCCGCATGTGTACATTCCTGTTCCATGTTTTTACCCACTGGGTGAAGTGTTATTGTATTTGATACTTTCATGTATGTCAATAATACACAAATGAAAATACACTAGTATCGTTTAGCTGATGTAAAGCCTTATCACTAACCGTAATGATACACACGGCATTTTTTATTCATTGGCCGGAAAAAAAATGTTATGTTTTTAACCAAATATGAGTCATCCAAGATGGCGGCGCCCATGAAAGGAAGTAGGCGAATCCCATCCTCACTATGACCCCAAAACGAATGCTTCGGTACCTACCAGTCATTGTTTTTTAAAAGAAATTGGAGGCAACCGCGCTTAGATTTGACATATGATTGTCATTTATATAGATCAGATATAATGTTGCTAAGCTGTTTGTGGTGAAACAATCTTTGTAATTCGAGATGTCATTCTTTGATGAAAATATCCCAAATATGTCAAAACAAACCTTGGATTGATTCTCTTGTCTGCCCTACTGTTGAAGGAGCATGGGCTTTGCCTTTGACGTTTTCGGCATGTTCAGTTTCATTTGGATTTATTTTCTCTGTTACTCAATTCACAGAGAGGCCTGAACGATATTAAATTTCCCTGATAGACACAATGACCGACGGGGTTCTCGTCGGTCAGCGGAGAGGTGATAAGCAAAAGGGCATTCGATAATAGACAGCAATATCAAAAGTTTCATTCCAAAGGAAATAGCCAGATCTACACCTACACCTTGCTCGTATTGAGAAGTAATATTATTGTGAAGCATGAAATAAGTTTGTGATGATATATAAAGCTGAACTAATATATGATATGAAACTTGAACAGATATGAAACATGTACAGATACAAGACATTCATGCTCAAATTACAACAGTGATAAGCATTAGGTTGTTATAATGTCTCCTCTGGATGACTGGGATTGTTGCTTGTGCTGTCACTTCTGGTTTCCTTCCCAGAACTCATTTGTCTCCAAGGCCCTGCAAGATAGCTGAAATAATGCTGCATATAACAATACCTCTCTCACTAAACTTGTCCTCACTGTCATGACTATAAGTTATGATTAGCATGAAGTATTTGTATCAAGTATCTTGCCTACTACAATGATATATCTACTGTTGACACTATCAACCACTGCATTGTTTATATAGAAGCTACTGTGTTGTGTAGCTGTGATATTGCTGAAGTACCAGTGAATGATATTCTCTTCAGCATGTTCATTTTACAAGCTCTCAGTATGCTGCTGTCTGGCATAGTGGGTCAGATGTTACAAACAGTGATGACAAACAGGCACCTCTTTGAATCGTTTCTATTTTCAAATTTTGCGATACTGAGAATCTCTTTTCAATTTAAGTAATAACTTGTAACTATGGTCACAAATTTCTCATTTTAATCACTGATTTAAAGGTTGTTTGGATTTCTTTTCAGATTGTGAGGAAAAGACCTTTTAGAGGTTGACCTGCAACCTCAGGTTTTCCCAGGTTGGTTCAGCCAATGACATAGATTGACTGTGATAACCATGTCCGGGGAAATTTTTCAACCAATGGAAAGCCTTGAAGATACCGACGTGGCCAAAAGGAACCCCCTGCTGTGCTACCTGTGCAATGAACAATATGATGACCCCTGTATACTCTCGTGCTTCCACAGCTTCTGTATGCGCTGTTTGCGGGGCCGAGCAGCGGACTCACAGATGCTGTGTCCTCTTTGTGGGTAAGTCACAGATGTATTTGTGGTGACATTAAAAATCTGCCACTTAATTTCCACTGCTCTTACATGTCTTTCCAACATAAATAGAGAATCTCACCCTGGTGTCCTTTGATATCAAATATATCAACGAGTGTTGACATCAAATATATCAACGAGTGTTGACATCAAATATATCAACGAGTGTTGACATCAAATATATCAACGATTTTCAGTTTGTAGACATTAATAAGCAGTGTCTTAAGTGTAAAAAGTACTGCTAACAGCTTCAGTAGCAGAGCCATTAGTGATATCATTTGATTGTGACGACATGGTAACCAATGATGTCACAATGGTCTGCAAATCATTGTGATGCACCCAAGTGATATCTCCTGTGGGAGCCAGTTTTGGATGATAAAATATTGCTTCCTCATTTTTATAAACCTGACATGCTTGAAGATCTGAGATTGGTATTGTTGTGCTTAAAACTTGTTTAAGGAAACATTTGATGATTTCTTTTTTATTGGTTATGTTCCAGCTAATTTCTTTAATAATATCAATATTACCATGAATATATTTGTTTAAAGTAACAATCAATATTCATGATAATGTAACCATGGTAACCAGAACATTTTTTTCCCAGGGCAACCACACCTTTAAAAGAAGGAAACTCATTACCTCCTCCTGATCCCCTGCTGAAGTTCATGGTCGAATCATCCCTGGACGAGAAAGCATCATGTGCCAACTGTGATAAAGTTTGTATGATTAATAATTGCTCTAGTTGAAAATCAAGGTGTTTTCTTTCCTAATCAACTAGTTTACTGCAAGTAAAATAAAATTTTGCTTAACTTTTCCTTCAAGTGTTAAAATTTCCATGCATCAAATATTCATCATGCTGAATAATTATGGTAACATCCACAAATCTGAAAGCATATTAGGTTTATCTACACTGTAAATGCAAAGGTTTGAGTTTTCCATACCTCTCTTTCACTAGTGCATGTATTCAACAGCAACAAGTCATACATGTTGTCTTGACTGCAGGACTGTAACCCCGTGTATTTTGTACCATCACACAACTGTTGTGTTGACTGCAGGACTGTAACCCAATGTATTCTGTACCATCACACAACTGTTGTGTTGACTGCAGGACTGTAACCCCGTGTATTTTGTACCATCACACAACTGTTGTGCTGACTGCAGGACTGTAACCCCATGTATTCTGTACCATCACACAACTGTTGTGTTGACTGCAGGACTGTAACCCCGTGTATTCTCTACCATCACACAACTGTTGTGTTGACTGCAGGACTGTAACCCCATGTATTCTGTACCATCACACAACTGTTGTGTTGACTGCAGGACTGTAACCCTGTGTATTCTGTACCATCACACAACTGTTGTGTTGACTGCAGGACTGTAACCCCGTGTATTCTGTACCATCACACAACTGTTGTGTTGACTGCAGGACTGTAACCCCATGTATTCTGTACCATCACACAACTGTTGTGTTGACTGCAGGACTGTAACCCCATGTATTCTCTACCATCACACAACTGTTGTGCTGACTGCAGGACTGTAACCCCGTGTATTCTCTACCATCACACAACTGTTGTGTTGACTGCAGGACTGTAACCCAATGTATTCTGTACCATCACACAACTGTTGTGTTGACTGCAGGACTGTAACCCTGTGTATTCTGTACCATCACACAACTGTTGTGTTGACTGCAGGACTGTAACCCAATGTATTCTGTACCATCACACAACTGTTGTGCTGACTGCAGGACTGTAACCCCGTGTATTCTGTACCATCACACAACTGTTGTGTTGACTGCAGGACTGTAACCCCGTGTATTCTGTACCATCACACAACTGTTGTGTTGACTGCAGGACTGTAACCCAATGTATTCTGTACCATCACACAACTGTTGTGTTGACTGCAGGACTGTAACCCAGTGTATTCTGTACCATCACACAACTGTTGTGCTGACTGCAGGACTGTAACCCCATGTATTCTGTACCATCCCACAACTGTTGTGTTGACTGCAGGACTGTAACCCCATGTATTCTGTACCATCACACAACTGTTGTGTTGACTGCAGGACTGTAACTCCATGTATTCTGTACCATCCCACAACTGTTGTGTTGACTGCAGGACTGTAACCCCATGTATTCTGTACCATCACACAACTGTTGTGTTGACTGCAGGACTGTAACCCCGTCTATTCTGTACCATCACACAACTGTTGTGTTGACTGCAGGACTGTAACCCCGTCTATTCTGTACCATCACACAACTGTTGTGTTGACTGCAGGACTGTAACCCAATGTATTCTGTACCATCACACAACTGTTGTGTTGACTGCAGGACTGTAACCCCGTGTATTCTGTACCATCACACAACTGTTGTGTTGACTGCAGGACTGTAACCCCATGTATTCTGTACCATCACACAACTGTTGTGTTGACTGCAGGACTGTAACTCCATGTATTCTGTACCATCCCACAACTGTTGTGTTGACTGCAGGACTGTAACCCCATGTATTCTGTACCATCACACAACTGTTGTGTTGACTGCAGGACTGTAACCCAGTGTATTCTGTACCCTCACACAACTGTTCTGTTGACTGCAGGACTGTAACCCCATGTATTTCTGCAACACCTGCTGCCAGCCCCTGTGTACTGGCTGTAGAGATGAAACCCACCGCGCCAAGATGTTCGCTGCTCACGACATTGTTGTCTTATCCAAGAGAACAAAAGAAATACACAAGCGCTGCTGTAAGTAACTGGTACATCGACTACAATATTTATCTATATTTGCTACCATTCTTAGGTACAAGAAAACAACAGAAGACAAACACATTCAGTGTCCAACCCAGACCTCGCGATTGCGCGATTCACGCTAAAAAAAAGCAAATCGCCCCTAATAAAAAACTCAAAGCGCGATCTGTTGGGCACAGTAATTTCTTGTACAGTCACTTACTTTATCAGCTGTTTATCCCTACCTTTAGATTCAATACTCACTAAATCTTTAATCAATTAACGAAGAAAGACAGTTCACAGCAAACATTGTAAACAACTGTCGGAAGACCGATCGATAATAACCGGAAGTTCGAACACAAGTTACGTCCCTTGGGTTGCTGAATAAATTATCGACAGAATTTGCATAGGAAACGAAATTTAATTTACTTTAGTAGAAATCAAAACTTTGATCAAAATTATGTTGTATTTTGTTGTTTAGTAATCAAAAACCTTTGACAAGATGTTAAAAGAATATAAATATTCTATCTTGAATAGTTCTGAAAATATTTTTGAGTATTTTAGTTCGTTTTAGTTTCGTTTCTGAAATCACACAATATCAATCGCCGACTGTCATTGCAGACGATCTTTTGAATAGTGAAAATGTCGCGCAAAAAAAAAAATTACAGACTTTTTTAATCAAAATAGATGTTCTAAAACATCTAAAAGATGCCCATACCCTCTTGCCTGTGTCTTACATTGCCGATACCCTCTTGCCTTGGTCGTACATTGCCCATACCCTCTTGCCTGGGTCTTACATTGCCCATACCCTCTTACCTCGGTCTTACATTGCCGATACCCTCTTGCCTGGGTCTTACATTGCCGATACCCTCTTGCCTGGGTCTTACATTGCCCATACCCTCTTGCCTGGGTCTTACATTGCCCATACCCTCTTGCCTGGGTCTTACATTGCCCATACCCTCTTGCCTGGGTCTTACATTGCCGATCCCTCTTGTCTGGGTCTTACATTGCCGATACCCTCTTGCCTGGGTCTTACATTGCCGATACCCTCTTGCCTGGGTCTTACATTGCCGATACCCTCTTGCCTGGGTCTTACATTGCCGATACCCTCTTGCCTTGGTCGTACATTGCCCATACCCTCTTGCCTGGGTCTTACATTGCCCATACCCTCTTACCTCGGTCTTACATTGCCGATACCCTCTTGCCTGGGTCTTACATTGCCGATACCCTCTTGCCTGGGTCTTACATTGCCCATACCCTCTTGCCTGGGTCTTACATTGCCCATACCCTCTTGCCTGGGTCTTACATTGCCGATACCCTCTTGCCTGGGTCTTACATTGCCCATACCCTCTTGCCTGGGTCTTACATTGCCCATACCCTCTTGCCTGGGTCTTACATTGCCGATCCCTCTTGTCTGGGTCTTACATTGCCGATACCCTCTTGCCTGGGTCTTACATTGCCGATACCCTCTTGCCTGGCGCTTACATTGCCGATACCCTCTTGCCTGGGTCTTACATTGCCGATACCCTCTTGCCTGGGTCTTACATTGCCGATACCCTCTTGCCTGGGTCTTACATTGCCCATACCCTCTTGCCTGGGTCTTACATTGCCGATACCCTCTTGCCTGGGTCTTACATTGCCGATACCCTCTTGCCTGGGTCTTACATTGCCCATACCCTCTTACCTCGGTCTTACATTGCCCATACCCTCTTGCCTGGGTCTTACATTGCCGATACCCTCTTGCCTGGGTCTGCCGATCCCTCTTGCCTGGGTCTTACATTGCCCATACCCTCTTGCCTGGGTCTTACATTGCTGATAACCTCTTGCCTGGGTCTTACATTGCCGATACCCTCTTGCCTGGGTCTTACATTGCCAATACCCTCTTGCCTGGGTCTTACATTGCCCATACCCTCTTGCCTGGGTCTTACATTGCCCATACCCTCTTGCCTGGGTCTTACATTGCCAATACCCTCTTGCCTGGGTCTTACATTGCCCATACCCTCTTGCCTGGGTCTTACATTGCCCATACCCTCTTGCCTGGGTTCCCCGATCCCTCTTGCCTGGGTTTTACATTGCCCTTATAAACCTATTCATTGGGATTGCTATTAAGTAAGAGACTTCTTTCTATAGGCATTAAAACCTATAGTGAGGTTTTACTTTCCAGTCGGGTTAAATCGCATAAACAGGGACGTTGTAATGTCCCTGGGATTTTATATAAAATCCAAGTCATATTTGCTATAATATCCCAGGGATTTTATATAATGTCCTGGGTATTTTATTAATGTAACTTCCATTCAGATTGTAACATGTAATGAAATGTAAAATCAAATGACAAATGTTTTCTTTATATTCCCGAGGATCGAACTCGCAACCTTCATATCTGTAGCCCAGTTAGTGTACCACGAGGCTACAGAGGTGTTGATAAGTCATACTGGTTTTTAGAATGTCCTTTTCAAGATCCGTACACCAGCAACAGATATTTTACGCGCGTTTCCTAAGGTTCATGGAAAGTATGTTCGAAACATAAAAATGTTGATAAATGTTGTTTCAAGTTTCTTTTTTCGGTTTATAAGTATGGAAAAACACTTTCCCTCGGTTTTGGTAGAGCATGCCCTGGGGGTCGGGAAAAACGGTAATTTGCTGATACCTTCTTTCCTCAGATCAAAGCATGTGAGAGAAGAAATACGTGCAGCATAGACAAACTAAGTCATGACATCTAAAATTGAAGTTCCTTCACCACCTGCCCCGGTGGCTCAGTGGGAAAACAGTGGGTTAAAAAACTTAACACGATATCTGAGGTGGCAGGTTCGATTTTCGACATCCATAATGAAATGCTTTCATTTCTTGTCTTCAATTTTAGAACATTGGACGTTTGAAACACCAAGTCCAAATTCCATCTGGTTATCTACAATGCAATAGGCAAAAGTGGCAGTAGGTTTATAATGTCATATAAGGTCCTCTTTCAGAGGTTGTTAGTTCCTATCAGGTGGGATGTGGATTAAGAGGCTTCAGGATAGTACTTCATGAGCAATGATAGGCAGTACCAGTGAGTAACCTAGTAATGAAATCACTACTTGTTCACGGCTTAAAGTTTTATTTCTTCTTGTATTAAGCATGTTCAGTTGTTTTTATTGATTTGTAATTTCACAAATACTCCCAGTCTGTATAATCCATATCTGTATGGGGGTGGGTGATCTGTATGGGGATGGGTGATCTGTATGAGGGCGGGTGATCTGTATGGGGGCGGGTGATCTGTATGGGGATGGGTGATCTGTATGAGGGCGGGTGATCTGTATGGGAGCAGGTGATCTGTTTGGGGGCAGGTGATCTGTATGAGGTCAGGGGATCTGTATGGGGCAGGGGATCTGTATGGGGACGGTCGATCTGTATGGGAGCAGATGATCTGTTTGGGGGCAGGGGATCTGTATGGGGGCAGGGGATCTGTATGGGGGCAGGTGATCTGTTTGGAGCAGGTGATCTGTATGGGGGCAGGTGATAGGGGATCTGTATGGGGGCAGGGGATCTGTATGAGGGCGGGTGATCTGTATGGGGGCAGGTGATAGGGGATCTTTATGGAAGCAGGTGATAGGGGATCTGTATGGGGGCAGGTGATCTGTATGAGGGCGGGTGATCTGTATGAGGGCGGGTGATCTGTATGGGAGCAGGTGATCTGTTTGGGGGCAGGTGATCTGTATGAGGTCAGGGGATCTGTATGGGGCAGGGGATCTGTATGGGAGCAGATGATCTGTTTGGAGCAGGTGATCTGTATGGGGGCAGGTGATAGGGGATCTGTATGGGGGCAGGGGATCTGTATGAGGGCGGGTGATCTGTATGGGGGCAGGTGATAGGGGATCTTTATGGGAGCAGGTGATAGGGGATCTGTATGGGGGCAGGTGATCTGTATGAGGGCGGGTGATCTGTATGAGGGCGGGTGATCTGTATGGGAGCAGGTGATCTGTTTGGGGCAGGTGATTTGTATGGGAGCAGGTGGTCTGTATGAGGGCGGGTGATCTGTTTGGGGCAGGTGATCTGTATGGGAGCAGGTGATCTGTTTGGGGGCAGGTGATAGGGGATCTGTATGGGAGCAGGTGATCTGTTTGGGGGCAGGTGATCTCTATGGGGGCAGGTGATAGGGGATCTGTATGGTGGCAAGTGATCTGTATGAGGGTGGGTGATCTGTATGGGGGCAGGGGATCTGTATGACGGCAGGTGATAGGGGATCTGTATGGGGGCAGGTGATCTGTATGAGGGCAGGTGATAGGGGATCTGTATGAGGGCAGGTGATCTGTATGGGGGCAGGTGATAGGGGATCTTTATGGGAGAAGGTGATGGGGGATCTGTATGGGGGCAGGTGATCTGTATGAGGGCGGGTGATCTGTATGGAGGCAGGTGATATGGGATCTGTATGGGGCAGGTGATGTGTATGAGGGCGGGTGATAGGGGATCTGTATGGGGGCAGGTGATCTGTATGGGAGCAGGTGATAGGGGATCTGTATGGGAGCAGGTGATCTGTTTGGGGCAGGTGATCTGTATGGGGTCAGATGATCTGTATGGGGCAGGTGATCTGTATGGGGGCTGGTGATCTGTTTGGGGCAGGTGATCTGTATGAGGGCGGGTGATCTGTATGGGGTCAGATGATCTGTTTGGGGGCTGGTGATCTGTATGGGGGCACAGAGTGTAGGTGGCCTTGTTTCTCAGCTGAACCCCTATTGTTTCAGCGCTGCACAAGGAGCCGTACATCATGTTCTCCATAGAGAAGAAAATCATGCTGTGCATCAACTGCTTCAGGGACATGCGGATGTAAGGTTCCTCCCTGTCTGTGTCACCATGGTTACCACCTTTGTTATTTCTGCTACTGATGTGTCTCATCTGTCATACAGTCTGTATCTGTTACCAGCGTGTCACATTGACTAATTGTTTAACTTATCCTACATTACTCGGTATTGCATTTACTACTGTCTTTGACAGAGAGACAAACTGTGTGAGATCCAGTTGCTGAAGAAAGCTGTATTAACCGCCCGGAGGCAGCACCCCCCTCGCACAGTCAGCACGTGACCCAGAAGTCATGACGTCACTTCAAAACACATACCGGGGGGTAACTGCTTTGTCACCTCCAAGAACGGACATACTTTGTATCCCTTGTGGAAATTGAAGCTTATTGTTTCTATATTTTGCGTGTTTCTACATTCATCGTATGCTGCTTCATTGTTACCAGTTTATGGGCTGTTACCTTTAGGGTCTTCCCATTCGTAATTTGTAACATTTATCGCTCGTTTGTCGCTCTATTCACAGTAATTTAAGGGTGCAATGTTGTTCCCGCCATTTTGTTTCTTTCCCGCCATTTTTGCTACTCATCACTTGGCCACGTAATTTCGTGTGCTGCATTTTGAATTCTTTCTTTGGCTTTGGTAATACACTAAATTTATGTATTTTGTTTTGGCGTGCTTAAAGCTATGCCTTTTCGCTACCTTTTAGCGTAATTATTTGCTCTCATAAACTTCAATAAAATACAAAGTTACAGTCATCTTCCCGAGGCAAGAGAGTTAACTGACTTTAAAAGTCCAGTTTCCACCCTTGCCGAACTAGGCTGGAATTCCTGGGCTCGATCGAAGCGCCACCAGTGGCTATTACGAGTTATGTCCTTTCTATACCTCTCCTATTGACCAATCAGATTCAACCTCTCGTATCACTTGCATTTGCTTCAAACAAAACGGTGGCGCCCAGTCAAGACGGTCTGATCGATAATGAAGATCTATATTGAGATAAAACGAGTCTTACAACGCGAAGTGCATCAAATCACGTGAGCACCTTGATTAAAAACATGAAAAGATTTAGAAAATATCTGTTGACAACCAGTTAGCGGTGCACATGCTTTGCAAATCCTGCAGTCGACCGAAATCTGCATGACACTTTACGAACCGGATTTTGATTTCGGTGTGCGATTTTGATTGGACTATGCATAGACTCATTAGTCCAGCCAAAATGTAACTCCATAATACCAGCCTAGTTCGGCAAGGGTGGAAACAGGACTTTTATAGTCAGTTAACTCACTTGCCTCGGGAAGATGAGTTACAGTATGCTTCCTGTACTTTGTGGTTTTGCCCCATAGTTATGTTTTGCTTAAATTCCAGATTTTCTGCCTTGCGGCACTTGTTGCCGCAGGAACAAATCTGGTCGAGGCCGCCCCTTCTGCCATGATTGTACGTTGCCCTGTACTTTCACAACGCAGTGCTGATGTTGCAGTCCTTTGTCGCAGTGCTCCTTCAACTCGATACGAGTATCCAGGACACACCTCACTCTACGTGCTCGTCGACCCCCTGATATGGCTTACAACTCGGAAACTGTGGTCTTTCCACACCACCCTTGCTGTCACCTTTATCGACAACATCGTCCCTTCCGGTGACGCCCGTAACGGCACCGATCTTCCATCTCCTCCACCATCTACATGGACAACAGCGGCGCCGTCGGCACTCCTGACGCCACTGACGCCTCTTGGCGTCTGTGTATCTCAGCTGACCTTCCCAGCGCCTCCGGCACTACCAACACCTCCGGCGCTCCCGAGAAGCAACACTGCCGGCTCCTCCCGGCGCCTGAGTATCTCAGCCCAGAATCCCGGTACCTCTGGTGCTCACGTTGCCCCCGACGCTCAGATCAACAAGCTGAGTATCTCAACCGATCTTCTACTTCGGCATAAGGGGCGCCATTGGTAATTGCCTCTCTGGCGCAGTGACATCTGCTTCTATTACTGACATCTTATAGATCGTCACACGGAGAAGCAAGGTGAAACCAGTCTTCTTAGTTGACATCGCCGGCACCAACACTTAGCCTTAGCTCCAGCGTTCCTCAAAGAGACTCTTCCTCGTCGCTCCCCAGGTTTTCCACGGTGCTCCTGGTGCTCCCGCATTTTTTCGCAAAACTCGGGTACACCACTTGTCTACCACACATTTCATTGGGGATTGTCTGTGTGCGGAGATTGCACCTCATTTCTGACTCCAATGCGCCTTTCTCGGCTACTGCGCAGAGTGATTTACATGTCACGTGTCAAGAACTTTCTGACTGTATACATCTTCGACCGGAATTAGGTCAACTGATCTAATGCTAGCTGCGCTGTGTATTTCTACAGATTGGTTTGCATGCTTACTTGTACTTAATACTGCAACCCCTCGATCAGACCGTCAACAACTTTGACCGGAATTAAGTCAACTGACCATGGCAAGCGGTTCTACAGATTGGTTTGTATGCTTACATGTATGCATGGTTCAACCACTCAGCCAGACGCACAAATGATGGAAACGATAGACCTCTGCTGCCAACATGGCAGTTGCGAAGCACCTCGTTTCATTGTCACATCGCTATAAAAATGATAGCGCTTATACGACGCTTAGGAGCTGTTTTTTTTCGTCTACACAGGGTTTGTTTCGCAGGCGAGCACACCTCTCCATGTATCATCCCAACGGTACACAAACGGAGACCCCTGTTTTCAACTTTGCAGTCTTGCAGAAGACCCCTCTTCCACTGCCGCTTCCACCTTGTCAGTGGCTAGTGTTCTGGAATTGCCCACACCAGCCCGCGTTGTGACCGACTGTGATCCAGAGATCAACACCATTGGCACAACAACAGCCTCGAGATAAAAGTGCTTATCCAGGACGTCACTTGCTGGCAGAGAATTCTCGGTCACACCCTGTTGATCATGTCCATTAACAACATCACCATAGTGTGGTGTTTGAGTAACCAGGGTACTCTCCACTCTCCACTCTCCACTCTCCATCCCTGCTAAACCAGACCTTCAGCTTCCACGACTTGGTGGTCAGCCTGGACCTGTACTTTCTCGTCTTGCATTCACCAGGTTGAGAGAATGTTCTGGCACAAGTTCTGTCCAGGCCGGACTAGGTGGCTCCCACTGAATGGAAACTCCACCCAGAGGTCTTCGCCAGACTATGTCAAACGAGCAGCACCCCAAACATCGATCTGTTCACCACATCTCAGAACTGCCAGCTGTCGCCTTACATTTCACCGACGCCGGATCTGGCCGCTGTGGCAGGTGATGCCTTCAGTTTTTCCTGGGAAGGATTTTCTGCCTCCGGTTCTCCCTCCCTCAGTTCTTCAAAGATCCAGGCCACTCGGCACCTGACACCGATTTTTGTCGTGCCTTGGTGGCTGGCCAGAAGTTGGTTCCGAAACATCGCCATAGACAATCCCCTGGAACTTCTGGTGTGGTCCAACCTTCTGCTCCACCCACAGTCGGTTGCCACACCCTTAAACCCCCACGGTTTCGTCTGCACGCCTGGCACTTCTGCACTTGGCTAGAGCGGCCAATGCTATAGCTTCAGCCCACTGTCCATCTTTACGAGGACTGTATGATGTTAAATGGTGCTTGTTCCAGGCATTTTGTTCAGACAAACACCAGAATCTGATGACAGCGTCACCGCAGTTAAGATCCTTCTGTACTTGCCCAGCACCCGTTGGTTGAAAGGCTCTACCATCTCCACATACCTGGTCGCTGTCAACTCCATTTTTGCCATCCTTGACTATCGTAGAATAGCGGAAATTCTGGAACTACAGGCCTTGCTGTGCTTGTTCCGTCTTGAAGACCCAAAAGCCAAGTTCAGACCGCCTGCATGGGATCTGAATGTGGTCTTAAACGCTCTTCAGACGACTCTCTTCGAACCACTCCACTCGTCTTCTTTCTATAACTTGAGGTAGAAGACGGTGTTTCAACTGGTTTTGGCTACTGCCGCTTGGGTCAGTGAGCTCCACGCCCTCGAGTCCGGTTCGAACGTGGTACTCAGGACGCCATTCATCATGGGCCATGCTGGGACTTCATCGTGAAGAATCAACCACCCAGGACAGCCTGATAAATCATTCTTTATCCCCTCCCCCCTCGTCCTTTGTGGGGGCCGAGGAAAAGGAGGAGCATTTATTATGCCCAGTAAGGGCACTGAAGATTTCCTACAACGATCCGCAAGTCAAGGAAACACCTTTCTCTGCCAGTCTCCCCTTCGTCGCAGTCGGAATATTTTTTTCCTGTGGCTCCTGCCAAGCTTATAAAGCCGCTTGAGTGGACCCTCCCCCAAGGCTATCAACCCATACGAGATTAGGGCAATCGCATTTACCATGGCTCTTCACAGTATAACTGTAACATCCATGGAAGGCTGTTCATGGAAGAGCATTCGCTCTTAGGTCAGTTCTAGTTTTTGGCTACCTGCCTCATTCTATTTCTGTCACATATTCGGGCTTTACATTTTGCATCGACTCTCACTTCTGGATGACAGGAATGGTAGTAGATGTTGATGTCGACACCAATGCCGCTGATTCTCCGATACCCCGAGCGGGGCCCATTGAACTCTCTGGTGTTCCTCGACTCCAGATCAGAAGGCTCTACTGCGTTCCGCTTTCGCTCTTAGGTAAGTTCTAGTTTTTGGCTACCCGCCTCATTCTATTTCTGTCACCTATTCGGGTTTTTCGTTTTTGCATCGACTCTCGTTTCCTTCAACAGGAATGGTTGTAGATGTTCCGGTCATCACTTGTATGAGATGCGGATTCATCGGACCTTGTTGAGGGTTTATTATGGATCACATCTGAAAGTATGTCCACCGGCCATGCCATCTGATAAAGATGCAATACGGAGTAATGCAGGATAAGTTAAAACATTTAGTAAAATCTAAATATTTTTTACATTTGTATACTTATCCTGCATAACAAAGTCTAAGTGCCCTCCCTTCACTATGCTGCCTCCCCACTTAGTTTCAGATGTTATGTTTAAAACAGTTATGTGTTTTAATGTGACGTCATGACTTCCGGGTCACGTGCCGACTGTGCGAAGGGGCAGCTGCCTCTTGGCGGTTGATACAACTTTCTGCAGCAGCTGGATCTTACACAGGTCGTCTCTCTGTCAAAAGACAGCAATAAATGCAATAGGGAATAATGCAGGTTAAGTACACAAATGTAAAAAATATTTAGATTTTACTAAGTTCTGTTATCATTGTGTCTCACATGTCACACAGACTATATCTGTTACCAGTGTGTCACATATGTGACACAGTCTATATCTGGTACTGATGTGTCACATATGTCACACACACTATATCTGTTACTGATGTGTCACATGTCCTTCAGACTGTATCTGTTACCAGTGTGTCACACATGTCACACATCACACAGTCTATATCTGTTACTGATGTCACACATGTCACACATACTATATCTGTTACTGATGTCACATTGACTATATCTGTTACTGATGTCACACATGTCACATTGACTATATCTGTTACTGATGTCACACATGTCACATTGACTATATCTGTTACTGATGTCACATATGTCACACAGTCTATATCTGTTACTGATGTCACACATGTCACATTGACTATGTCTGTTACTGATGTCACATATGTCACACAGTCTATATCTGTTACTGATGTCACACATGTCACATTGACTATGTCTGTTACTGATGTCACATATGTCACATTGACTATGTCTGTTACTGATGTCACACATGTCACACAGACTATATCTGTTACTGATGTCACATATGTCACACAGTCTATATCTGTTACTGATGTCACACATGTCACATTGACTATATCTGTTACTGATGTCACATATGTCACACAGTCTATATCTGTTACTGATGTCACACATGTCACACAGACTATATCTGTTACTGATGTCACACATGTCACATTGACTATATCTGTTTCTGATATGCACATATGCAGTGAAATTGACATGACTATATTCTCCAATATGTCCACCCCAAAATATGTCACTTGATCATGTTTATTAATGCGAGCAAGGAACACTCAAATTTATCATGATTTACAGCATATGACTTGGAAAACATAAGCCTCAATAACTTCTTTAGGATTTACAGCATATGACTTGGAAAACATAAGCCTCAATAACGCCTTTAGGATTTACAGCATATGACTTGGAAAACATAAGCCTCAATAACTCCTTTAGGATTTACAGCATATGACTTGGAAAACATAAGCCTCAATAACGCCTTTAGGATTTACAGCATATGACTTGGAAAACATAAGCCTCAATAACGCCTTTAGGATTTACAGCATATGACTTGGAAAACATAAGCCTCAATAACTCCTTTAGGATTTACAGCATATGACTTGGAAAACATAAGCCTCAATAACGCCTTTAGGATTTACAGCATATGACTTGGAAAACATAAGCCTCAATAACTCCTTTAGGATTTACAGCATATGACTTGGAAAACATAAGCCTCAATAACGCCTTTAGGATTTACAGCATATGACTTGGAAAACATAAGCCTCAATAACTCCTTTAGGATTTACAGCATATGACTTGGAAAACATAAGCCTCAATAACTCCTTAGGGATTTATGCATTTATTTGAAACATGGCTAATTTGTTTCCTTTTGTTTTCTTCCCCAGTGAGAGTCGGACGCACTGCGTGGACCTAGAGACCGCTTACAACCAAAGTTGTCGCAAGCTTGAGCAGAGTGTTCAAGTAAATAAGCAACTGCTCTGCTATCAACTGACTGACATTGATCATTGTCTCTGAATCTTCCATGAGATGTCAGCTAAATAACAAATACTGGACTTTCTTAACTTTCATTCTGACGTGACCCGTAATGGGATGTCCACCGATGTTTGGTTAGCTGTTGTGAGAAATAAGATCTGATTTGAATGAGATTGACAACAGAATGAAACCACATTCACTCACCCACTTTGAATGAGGAAAAAGATGGGATAAATACCAGCATGATTAATCCTGTGTTGACCCTGATTTAAGTCATAGTTTTTGTTTAACAAATGTTGAGTGTTATTGTTATGATCCAGTAACCAGCCATGTTCACAGACAGTGTGACCTGTGAAGATTCGGGTAGAATAGGTCTTCAGCAATTCATGCTTGCAGTAAAATGCGACTATGCTTGTTGGAAGAGGCAACTAAAGGGATTGGGTGGTCAGACTCTCTGACTTGGTTGAAACATGTCATTGATCCCAATGGCGTTGGTCGATGCTCATGATATCAATCACTGGATTGTCTGGTCCAGACTTGATTATTTACAGACCGCTGTCATATAGCTGGAATATTGCTGACTGTGGCGTAAAACAAAAAAAACAACCAAACCAATCACAGACAGTATTACTCATGTTACCAGTATACAAATCATAGTTGGTTTCCAGTATCACGTAAGATATTTGGAGTCTTGGTTCATCCACAGGCTGTACGGGATCTACAGAACTCTGTGAGAGATGGAATCTTGCTGCTACGAGCACTGCTTGAGGAGATCAAACAGAATGCAAGGAAGGAAAGTGAAGCAGTTTCTTCCCTCTATGACTCCATGCAGGAGAAGATCAAACTGACCATGGAGACGCTCCTTGAGGAGTCCAACAGGTGAGATAATGTCTGTTGTGTCCCTCTATACCTCCATGAGGAGAAGATCAAACTGACCATGGAGACACTCCTTGAGGAGTCCAACAGGTGAGATAGTGTCTGTTGTGTCCCTCTATACCTCCATGCAGGAGAAGATCGAACTGACCATGGAGACACTCCTTGAGGTTCAACAGGTGAGATAATGTCTGTTGTGTCCCTCTATACCTCCATGAGGAGAAGATCAAACTGACCATGGAGACACTCCTTGAGGAGTCCAACAGGTGAGATAGTGTCTGTTGTGTCCCTCTATACCTCCATGCAGGAGAAGATCAAACTGACCATGGAGACACTCCTTGAGGTTCAACAGGTGAGATAATGTCTGATGTGTCCCTCTATACCTCCACTTTGACTTTCATCCAATGTTCCATGTAGATTTGATTGTGATAAATTAATTGCGGTAAACAAATTTTTAAACTTATCCTATCTCACACTGTGCATTTCTCATTCTTTTTTTTATCCTATGTGGTAACGTGCCTAAACAAAGGGGGCGGTCGGGTAGCCTAGTGGTTAAAGCGTTCGCTTGTCACGCTGAAGACCCGGGTTCGATTCCCGACATGGGTACAATGTGTGAAGCTCATTTGTGGTGTCCCCCGCCGTGATATTGCTGGAATATTGCTAAAAGCGGCATAAAACCATACTCACTCACTCACTCACCTTAACAAAGGTTTCCAGCTTCTTAAAAAGAATTCACCCGAGCACACCTAGCATCACCATGGTCACCTCCCATCAATCTGGGTCATGCACACTTTTCATGCCGATCGACCTACAGGTGCTGAACATGTGATTTCCACAGCAAAGTCAGTCTCTTTATAATCACCATGGCGTGATGACGTGCATACTACTTTATTTAGGCATGTTTCCACTTCGGATCGAAAGAAGAATGAGAAATGCATAGAGTGAGATAGGATAAGTATTATAAATATACAATTATTTTATAACTGATCCTGGATTACTCCCTAATGCTTTTACTGCTGGTTTACAATAGAAAGATGAAGCTGTGAGAGGTCCAGCTGCAGAAGTTGTTCCAACCAGTGGTGTAGCAATACCCTCACACAGCTGCCATGTGACCCCGACGTTGTGACGTCACATAAGAGCACATTACTGCTTTGTCATTCAACACGGACAGACATTTTGTTGTGAAATAAAGCCTCTGCAGTTTTCTAGAATCCTTTGCTTCTTATTTATACTTTGTTTTCACTTGCTATTGTGTTGTTGTTTATGGTTTGTGCCTTTTTTGGTCTTATCCATATGTAATTTGGATTAAATTCCAGCTTGTTTGTGGCTTTTAGTCATGGTAATTACAGGTGTGTTGTTGTTCCAATCTGCCTTCAGCTTTGGCCCCCACAACCTCTCAGACGATGTCGCCACGGCCGATGGTCATGTCCCCCATGTCGACACGTATGCTGAATGTGGCATTCCTGTCGTTACTGACTCATGTGCTGATTCTGTTGCTCCTACCATCAATGACTGCGCCATCTACACCTCAGCAACGTCTCAGGTGCCTGCACCACCCTTGTCTAGTACGATCCCCCTGACTGGACGGGTGCCTGCGGTCTTCAACCCTATTTGGCAACAGCAGCGCCATCAGGTTACAGCCACTTCCCTGGACTACCTGCTCAACAGCTGCCTTACCAGTCGGGCCACAGCATATCCTGCCTGCCTCATTTATGGATCCTAGCTGGATGTACGCATGGATGCAGTTCATGTTCAGACAGTCCATGGCACCAGCAGTGCCTCAGGCTCCCCTGAAGCCAGCTGCTGCACCTAACACTACTGGCAGTCCCGGCACTACTGGCTCCTCCAGTCAGCTCTCTAACTCCACTCATGGCTTCCGCTTTACTGCCGACTTTTCCGGTCACCATCTCATCAGCGGTGCCACCACTGTGCTTTTCATCATCTCCCCCCTTGGCGCCTCTTGTTGGCAGAGATCTTACACCATCTACTCATGCCAGATCGTCACGTGGTTCTGCCTCTCCTAGTTCATCTCAGTGCAGATCTAAGTTGTCCCATTGCCGTTCGCTGCGCCATTCTCAGGACTTGGGCACACATCTTGGTATGAATCAAGTTGCCGATTGGATGGCAAATAGGTTGACTTCTGTAGCAACGTCTCCAGGACCAGACGTGGACAAAAAGCATGTTATCTGGTCCCACCTAATGTCTATTTCTCCAGATCCTATGTTGACAGTTTTCATTCAGGCTGGCCTCGTGGTGAGGGTGTGGTGAAAACTCCCGCCTATTATCAAAGTTGGGTAAAGGAATCCATGAGAGAGGGCAATAGTACTCTTGTTGAACTTGGTTCATGTGGCTTCTGGTAGACATCATCTCTACCAGAACTTGTAGATCATCACTATTCACAGTCGTTTAGCCATTTGCTAGATTCGTCATCGGCTACAGGGTACCCTCTCGGGATCAATTTGCTCCTACACCAGCCACATCACACATTCTTTGTTGAACTCGGGAACACCACTTGTCTGTCTACCACACAGTTCACTGGGAATTGTCTGTGTGTGGAGCTTGAACTTCATCTCTGTCAAAACTGCAGGATTCAAGGCTACTGCGCAGCGTGATTTAAATGTCATGTGTCAAGAACTTTCTGACTGTATACATCTTCGACCGGAATTAGGTCAACTGATCTAATGCTAGCCGCATGGTGTATTTCTACAGATTGGTTTGCATGCTTACTTGTACTTAATGCTGCAACCCCTCGATCAGATGCCTGTCACTTACATCAATGTGACCGAGTCAGTACTTCAGTAGACCTCCGATGCCTACATCCAGAGTTACGAGACACCGGCCTCTGGCATCTCCTCGATATACGAATGGGTGCACTTATACAGTGCAAAAGGGCTGGAAACAATCACCTTACTTTGTACGGTATGATCTTTCAGACCAAAGTATTATTTATTCAGCCTTATCAACTAGTTACAGCATTGATTTTATCATTCTTCCCACGACCGTTACAATTGACCATGATGACAACACGCAGAATCACAAGGCACCACCCTTCGTTGTCACCTCGATATAAGAGCGGCGGTGCTTATATGGTGAGAAAGGGATGAAAACGATCACCCTATTTTGTAGGTACGATCTTTCAGACCAAAGAGTATTATATTCAGCCTTCTCTACTATGAAGTGTTGATTTTATAATTCTTCCCACGACTGTTATGTCAACCTCCGATGTCCAGACAGGGAATAAGGAGGCACCTCCCTTCATCGTCACCTGGATATAAGAACAGAAGTGTTTATACAACGCACAGGGAATGGAAATGATCACCTTACTTCGTACATTACGATCTGTCAGACGAAAGTTTTAGGTTTATATTCAGCTTTGTCTGCAGGATACAGCTTTGACTTCCAACAACCATTCCGTCGATGCCTTGGAGTTCGGTAGGGGAGCACGTTTATTTAGTCTTGATGACATCTGGCATTCATCTTTCCTTGTAGGGGCGGTCGGGTAGCCTAATGGTTAAAGCGTTCGCTCGTCACGCCGAAGACCCGGGTTCGATTCCCGACATGGGTACAATGTGTGAAGCCCATTTCTGGTGTCCCCCGCCGTGATATTGCTGGAATATTGCTAAAAGCGGCATAAAACCATACTCACTCACTCACTCTTTCCATGTATCGTCAAGGCCTGACACGATCCTTAATGGACCCCAAGCGCCACTGACTCTTCTCGATGCCCAGAGATGTCCTTTCAAACCTCTCTGGTGCTTGTCACCCCAGACTAGAAGGTTTACATGCTACTAGCATCAGCTTGGTTCATCAGTTCTAGACCTTAGCTCTCACTTTGTTCTATTACTGTACTGTTACCTGGACATCCTGCATCCCTCACACTCTTGTGTTCCTTCCTTCACTCTCCCTTCTGTTTTCTGGGCATCGCGCAGGATGCTGTACTGGGTACTTGGCACTTGACGAGCATTTATTCCGGATCACATCGGAACGTATGCCCACCTTCCGTGCCGTCTGATAAAGATGCATTAAGGAGTAATGCAGGATAAGTTAAAAATTTAGTAAAATCTAAATTGATTTTACATTTGTATACTTTATCTATGTGCCCTCCTGTCGCTCTAAGCAGTATTGTGCTCTTATGTAGCATCACCACTTCCGGGTACACCACTGGTTGGAACAACTTCTTCTGCAGCTGGACCTCTCACAGCTTCATCTTTCTGTAAAAAAAAAAAAAGCAGTAAATGTATTAAGGAGTAATGCAGGATAAGTATACAAATGTAAAAAATATTTACGTTTTACTAATATTGTAAAATTTAAAGGTTTCTCATGCTTTACTGTAGGTATGTATCTTTGTTAACAAAGACTTGGTGATATTGCAGCCAGTACAAGGCGAAAGAGTCCTCGTTCAAGGCACAGCTGACTGGCCTGACCACCCTCCTACCCACCATCCATGTCCATCTTGTGACATCAGCAGCATTCGCCAGCTCTGCCAATAAGTTTGAGTTTCTAGATATGTCCTATGTGAGTTGTGGTTATGATTTACACTTATAACTTATCCAGTGAGAATTCCAGGCAGAATGTTAGTTTAAACTATCACTGAGTTTAGTCTGGTGACCATCATATGCATACACACTTGGTGCATGTTGTGCAGGGCCAGATGGTGACTCTCAGGGCAAGTCAGGCACTGCTGCCTTCACATTGTGCTGATATGGCTAAAAAACATTCATTAATACAGTTAGCTTTCAGCATTACAGTCAGTAGTAGCTGAACAGTGCAAGTATTGTGCACTCTACACATGGGGGGGCACGGGTGGCCCAGTCGTCTAAGGCGCCGCAATTTGCTGTGCAGAGTTGCGTCCCTTCGGCACGCCAGAAACCTATGATTGTGGATTCGAATCCCGGTTCGCCCCGATTATGTTTCTAGGTTTGTCAGCACCATACCCGTGCTCGTGGGTTTCACCGAAGTGGTAAATGTCTGAGACCTGCATCACTTCGGGCTTTCCTCCCACATTAAGCTGACACGCCGTGATATGACTGGAATACTGTTAAAAGCGGCGTTAAACACAACTCACTCACTCACTCACTCACTCACTCACTCACTCACTCACTCACTCACTCACTCACTCACTCACTCACTCACTCACTCACTCACTCACTCACTCACTCACATGGGGGCAGTAGTCAAGATTAATCCTCACTGCTTGATTTGAAAAAGAGAGTTGTTTCTGCTCTGATAACCATATCCTTCAAACATCAAAGTTCTATTTCTAGTTACCAGGTATTAAATTTATTGAGTTAATTTTCTACTGTGTATGGTGCTCACATTTGGTAATGTTATAACTTGAGTGTTTGTCCATTGATACAGGCCCTGCCTCACTGTCTGTGTGTCTACTGTTGTACAGGCCATGTTTGTCCAGTGATACAGGCCCTGCCTCACTGTCTGTGTGTCTACTGTTGTACAGGCCATGTTTGTCCAGTGATACAGGCCCTGCCTCACTGTCTGTGTGTCTACTGTTGTACAGGCCATGTTTGTCCAGTGATACAGGCACTGCCTCACTGTCTGTGTGTTTACTGTTGTACAGGCCATGTTTGTCCAGTGATACAGGCCCTGCCTCACTGTCTGTGTGTCTACTGTTGTACAGGCCATGTTTGTCCAGTGATACAGGCACTGCCTCACTGTCTGTGTGTTTACTGTTGTACAGGCCATGTTTGTCCAGTGATACAGGCCCTGCCTGACTGTCTGTGTGTTTACTGTTGTACAGGCCATGTTTGTCCAGTGATACAGGCCCTGCCTCACTGTCTGTGTGTCTACTGTTGTACAGGCCATGTTTGTCCAGTGATACAGGCCCTGCCTGACTGTCTGTGTGTCTACTGTTGTACAGGCCATGTTTGTCCAGTGATACAGGCACTGCCTCACTGTCTGTGTGTTTACTGTTGTACAGGCCATGTTTGTCCAGTGATACAGGCCCTGCCTGACTGTCTGTGTGTCTACTGTTGTACAGGCCATGTTTGTCCAGTGATACAGGCCCTGCCTCTCTGTCTGTGTGTCTACTGTTGTACAGGCCATGTTTGTCCAGTGATACAGGCCCTGCCTCACTGTCTGTGTGTCTACTGTTGTACAGGCCATGTTTGTCCAGTGATACAGGCCCTGCCTGACTGTCTGTGTGTCTACTGTTGTACAGGCCATGATGGAGAGACTCAAGGCCATCGTCCACTGTCAGCATCCCCTCCACCCAACACAAGGCAGCCAGATAGACACAGACTTCAAGAACAAATTTGCCAAGTAAGTTTACCATTCCAGCCTTTTATTCTTTCTTTTTGCTGATATCTTATTGGTGGCATGGGTGGCGAAGTTGTCTAAGGGCCTGCAATTTGTTGTGCATGGTTGCGTCCCTTGGGCACACAAGAAACCTTTGACTGGGGGTTTGATTCCCGGCTCAGTTTGATTATGTTTCTAGGTTTGTCAGCACCATACCTGTGCTCTTGGGTTTCACCAAAGTGGTAAATGTCTGAGACTTGCATCACTTTGGGCTTTCCTCCCACATTAAGCTGATATGCTGTGGTGTTATATGTAACAAATACTGTTTCAAGGGGTGTTGAGCCCAACTCACTCGCTGCTTATGATATGTTTCCAGCTTTTGTCACAGAGTGTCTCGTCATATTTGTGAAATCCTGCACCATTCATGTGCATCATATTTCCTGAACACTTCCACCTCTCTCCCACTGTGGAGATCTCGTGTAAATCGTAAGGATTATGATTCATTGTATTCAGTTGTTAGCAGTGAACAGGTGGTAGAGGATCATTGTGGTTGGACAGAACTGTGGGGGAGATACTAGTCTGTGTGGCCAGTTGTGTTGAACACTATGGTTGTATTTCTATTCTTCTCTTGATACTGTTATTGGCTGATTAAAAAATAAAATTTGTTTCCCATCCTTTTCACCATAAAGATTAATAGGCTTGTATATTTTAAGGTTCCTAGAATATTAGCTTATTGTCAGTGTCAATATGTACATCCACAGAAGACATTCTGTGCATTCAGGCCCTTTGGTACCCCAAAATGTCACCCACTTATGTATTAATTTATGACTTCATACCTCTCCATCTCCTGAAAATATTTAAGAGGTGAAGGAATGGTGTGGATACCTCGCAGAGGTCAGATAAGCATTTGTTGAGCATGAGTGTTACCATGGTTACAGGAGCTTGGAGCCCCTGTTGTATGATGGCCCCGGGAAAGTGTTTCTGGCGTCTAGCCCTGTCCTACAACGATCCACAGGAGTGCCTTCCTCACCCAGTTTCAAGTAGGTATCCAGGCAGGACTGTTATGAATGTGTGGATATTGTTATGAAATGCTCAGTATGCTCGGTAGAGGCACGAGATTTTTTCAGGAAACTAATCTAAAATCGACGACCATTTAAAATTTATATGGCGTATTTTGCCTCCTAACTTCTTCATGTCATTTGCATACTGATCTTCTTCAAGAAATTTATTTTTGCTGTGAACTGTTTGAGAAAGTCTACACAAGATCATTTTGCTTGGCCATGCTTACTTTTGCAGCAGGATTGAGGTGCCCAAGTTAGCTAATCAGGCAGCAGCTGCAGGAAACACCCCTGTCAAGGCACCACAGAACAATGGTCGCCGTAATGGCATCGGCAAAGTCAAGTTTATTGATGCCAAGGGTGTCTTTGCAGAACATTGTGTAGAGTTTGAAACTTCTCATCGGGTGGGTAAATACATAGAGTGACTCTGACCCCCTAGATAATAAACAACTCTGACCCCCTAGATAATAAACAACTTTGACCCCCCACATAATAAACAACCCTGACCCCCTAGGTAATAAACAACCCTGACCCCCTAGATAATAAACAACTCTGACCCCCTAGATAATAAACAACTCTGACCCCTAGATAATAAACAACTCTGACCCCCTAGATAATAAACAACTCTGACCCCCTAGATAATAAACAGATCTACCCCTTACATACAGCAATTCATCGACTTCACTGTCACAGTGCTTGAGATAATCATAGGGTTCACAATTCCAACAGCATCTCTGTATATCTCACTACCTAGTTTTGACCCAGTATTTAGACTATGTTTCATTGAACCATTCTTTCATGGTACTGACATTCTCCCTTCTGTCTGTGTTCAGGATGTGCTGCAGAAGCTCGAGAAACTCAAGTCTCAGGTGCAGGAGCTGCAGAGAGATCTGACCCTGAGGCGATGTCTGGCGCGGCGGTCGGCGGTGGAGGAGCTAAAGAGTGTCATTGATGGTGTCGAGTGTCAGCTTGAGAAGCACTACGGCTACATAGAGGAAAAACAGCCAACACTCGAGAAGGTACACTCCTGTCTGCAGTAGAGATATGGTACTCCCACATCTGTAGTAGAGATACAATACACTCTTGTCTGTAGTAGAGAGAAGATACACTCATGTCTGTAGTAGAGACATATATATTGTTGATACCCCCATAGCCCCTTTCAAACAGACTCACTAATACATAGGCACCCATAGCCCCTGTAAAACAGACTCACTAATACATAGGCACTCATAGCCCCTGTAAAACAGACTCACTAATACATAGGCACCCATAGCCCCTGTAAAACAGACTCACTAATACATAGGCACTCATAGCCCCTTTCAATAGACTCACTCCCACATTGGCATTCATAGCCCCTGTCAAATAGACTCACTCCCACATAGGCATTCATAGCCCCTGTCAAACAGACTCACTCCAACATAGACACTCATAGCCCCTATCAAACAGACTCACTCCCACATAGGCACCCATTGCCCCTATCAAACAGACTCACTCCCACATAGGCACCCATTGCCCCTATCAAACAGACTCACTCCCACATAGGCACCCATTGCCCCTATCAAACAGACTCACTCCCACATAGGCACCCATTGCCCCTATCAAACAGACTCACTCCCACATAGGCACCCATTGCCCCTGTCAAACAGACTCACTCCCACATAGACACTCATAGCCCCTATCAAACAGACTCACTCCAACATAGGCACCCATTGCCCCTATCAAACAGACTCACTCCCACATAGGCACCCATTGCCCCTGTCAAACAGACTCACTCCAACATAGACACTCATAGCCCCTGTCAAACAGACTCACTCCCACATAGCACCTTTCAATTACATTAAGTAATACGTTACCACTGTTATACTGAGACTGTTGTCTCCCACAACTGCTCTTATAGCGAAATCTACCACAGAGATCTCACTTACCTCATGCAGCACGTGTGAGCCACCTAGCTGCCACTGTGACACCCTTCTCTCTTGTCTCTTCCCTTGCTCCAGCAAGACCGCTCTGAAGCGTTCCTGTATCTCCAACCATTCGGTGATATTTATTACTGTTTATTGTCTCAAATAAACTGTGCTTTTACAGGGCGTTTGCTGTAACTATGCTTGGAAATATTTTTCCTGCCAAAAGGAAAAAAAATACCCACACTCTTTTCTATATACTTGCGGGGTGTCTCCTATGCACGTTGTGTTTTACGTTCCCCTGTTCTAGTATGTCTTGGGGGTTTACATCACTTATTTCTCTATATGTTATATGTGTATGTTCTATATTCGCATTGCTCGTTTATTTTCTTGTGAAAATGCTCGTTTGTGAATATTTGTGGTGCGTGTGTTGTAACCATGTTTTACTCTTTGTTCATAGTAAAAACAATGTCTGACATGGATGTCTCCCCGTCCTCCACCCCCTCTACCCCCACAACCAGGACGCGGGGTCCACTGGTACGGCGGCGGATCCCATGGTCACCGGACCTTCCCCCGAACCGTTGCTCCCACTATCGGTTAAGGACCGCGTGGCTATGGCTTATGACGTCTTTGAGGACAAGCCTAAGCCCCTGCCGGTACCGCGGGGAATCCATGGCTCTGTGGGTTCCGCCGAGGTATTCGAGGAGTCTTCCGACAAGGCTTTCCCCGCATCAACCTTGCTGCGCGGGATCAAGCCTTCCTTGGAGAAAGCCTTTGCGGCGGCCTCCGGTCTGGGTCTCCCTTTGCCTCCCCTGTCATGGAGAAAGGGTTCATTCCCAGTTCATGACCTTGCCTTTCCCGAGGCTGGTCCTCAGGGAGGGCCATGTTAAGAGGTTGGGTGTCCGTGCCCCACCGGCTGCTCCGGTAACGCAGGCTACCTTGCAGCAGCTGGACACCCTCGCTCGGCGCTCCATGCTTGCCATGTCTCACGGAGACACTTACTTGGCTGCAGCGGCCAGTCTGGTCGAAGGTTCTCCCACGGACCGAGACCAGCGCATTTACAACTGCTTGCTCAGTTTAAATGCTTCCCTTGAGTACAATGCCGGGGCTTCGGCCTTTATTTCCGGCACGTGCCATTTTATGAGGCGCCAAGCATATCTTGCCGCCTTGGGGTTGGACACTGCCAACCAGGAAGTGCTCCTTTTGCAGCCTTGGTCTGCGCGGACCCTTTTCAATACCAAGATCCCTGGGGTTCTGAAAGAACAACAGGCTGTTTCGTCTGCCGAGGCCTCTCGGCACACACTTGATCTTGTTGGGTCCCTGCATAGACGCCTGGGTGCCGCCTTTAAGCGGAGTGCCCCCCAGGATGCTGCAGCTGGCAGGTCTAAGGGGTCGGGTCCTTCTTCCTCCGGGATGAAGCCCCGCCCTGAGGGCTCCGGTAAGGGCAATCAGCAGCCCTTTCGCGGGAAGAAGGGGAACTGGGGGACGGCAAGGGCGGTTAGGTTAGGCCCCCCTCTCCTTCCCCGGTGGGAGCCAGACTCCAGACTTACTGGGAGAATTGGGAACAAGTGTTTGACGACCCGTGGGTATCGGCTAGATCTCAAAGCGGATCCGCCGCTAACTGTTGCCACGTTGGCAGGTTTCTCTTCGGAAGCAGATCTTCCCATCCTAGCTGATGCCATTGGCAGGTTGGTGGAGAAGAGGGCGGTACAGGAGTTACCTCTTCCAGAAATAACACCGGGGTTTTACTCCAGGATATTTCTCGTTCCCAAGAAGGACAGTGCCGAACTCAGAATGATTCACAATCTGAAATTGTTCAACGAGTTTTACCTGCACAAGCCGCCCAAGTTCAGAATGTTGACCTTGGCGGACCTGAAAGCTCTGATCATGCCCGCCGACATCGATCGACCTGAAGGATGCTTATCTGCATGTTCCGATCCACTCGGACCATCACAAGTATCTCAGGTTTGCCTTTCAAGGCAGGCATTACGAGTGGGTTGCACTCCCATTCGGCCTATCATCTGCTCCCTGGTTGTTCACCCGGTTAACCACCCCCATAGTGGGGTTCCTCCACAGGAGGGGTGTGAGGTACTTTGCGTACCTGGACTACTCGCTAGTGGCAAATCGGATGACGGACATGCTGTCTCGTCAACTCGATTTCGCACTTCGGCTCTTGGAGCAATTGGGATGGATTGTCAATCTCCCCAAGAGCGAGTTAACCCCCTCTCAGAACTTGAAGTTCATCGGAGGTCGGTTCGACACGGTGACCCATCGCCTCTTTGTCCCCCAAGACCGGTGGCACAAGATTCAGGCGATGATTGCCAAAGTCTTAGTGGTGCAACAGACTGTTCACCTTTGGGAACAGCTGTTAGGGCTACTTGTGTCAGCCCAGGACTGCACCGAACGGGGTCGTCTCCAATTCCGCCCGCTGCAACGGTTTCTAATCCAGTTGTTAGCACAGGAAGAGAACAGTGCGTCCGTCGCTCTCCCAGATCGGCTCTGACCGCATCTGGAGTGGTGGACAGTCCCTTGCAACATCTTATCAGGAGTCTCTATGCGGCCCTTCCAGGCCACATTGAACCTGTATACAGACTGGCTGGGCGCCCATCTAGAGGGGGAGGTGAGCTCGGGGCTGTGGTGCGTAGACGAACTAGGTCTTCACATCAATTACCTCGAGTTCAAGGCAGTGATCAACGCAGTCAATCACTGGAAGCATCGTCTCGTTGACGCCCGGCTCATGCTGGCGACCGACAACACGACGGTAGCGTCTTATGTGAACAAACTGGGGGGAACCCACAGTCACTCGCTACTCGATCTCACGTTCGAGTTTTACGCTCTGGTGAACAGTGTCCCGTGCCAGGTACGCGCCCGTCACATTCCCGGTGTGCGGAACGTACTGGCAGACGCTCAGGGTCGTCTGATGGTCGACCTGTTCGCAAACAGGTTCAACAATCAACTCCCGTTGTTTTTATCACCAGTCCCGGACCCGAGGGCCATCGATCACGATGCTCTTGCGTTAGACTGGAGGGGCATGGACGCTTATGCTTACCCGCCAACGGCGTTTATACCACTCATTCTCAGCTGGCTCTGATGAGTTCGCTGTCAAATGCTACTGATCGCGCCCATGTGGCCGAACAGATCGTGGTACCCCGACTTACTGGCCCAGGTCACGCAGTCGCCGCTTCCACTGCCTGTGAGACCGGATCTCCTGATCCACCCTCACACTCGTCAGCTTCATCCAAACGCAGGGCAGTTCAATCTGCACGCGTGGATGTTGTCACCAAGCGACTGAGGAGTAAAGGTTTTTCTCGTCGGGCATCTCGGGCATACGTTAGTATGCATCGTGATTCTATCCAGAAGGTGTATAATGCACGTTGGGCTATTTTCACGAAGTGGTGTTGTAAACATCACATTCATTCGCCAGATAAGGTATCTGTGCAGGACATTGCTCGTGTCTCACTTACAAGAGACCTGGAAACTCTCTGGGGGTTCCATTGCCAACTATGTCTCTTCCGTTGCTACGGTACGGGAGGTTGCTATGGGTACCAGTCTTTCAAAAGAGCCATTGATTCGGGGTATTATCAAGGGTTTCAAACAGCAAGATCTTAAGAAAGGCCGCCTTCGGGCACCGGCCTGGGATCTTTCCTTAGTGTTGAAATCACTTACGGAAGCTCCGTATGAACCCTTGAGTAGTGCTTTGTTTCGGCATGTGACTTGGAAAACAACATTTCTCCTCTCCTTTGCCACGGCTGCACATGTGTCTGAGATTCATGCACTCGATGTCACTAAGGTACGATTTGATAGGGGCAACAAAGGAGCGGTCCGCCTGGGCCTGCTCATGGGCTTCGTCGCTAAGAATCAGAAATTTGGTCAAACGGAGAGAGAATTCAGTGTAAGATCACTCAAAGAAATTTTTACAAACCTGTAGAGGTTATGAATTCTCTGATGAAATCCTCCTTGGGGCACTTATTGCATTTTCCTGGCTCAAGAAAATCTACATGACATAGTTGTAACCATTTTCCTTAATAAAAATTGTTACCACACAAAAAACTTTGTTTTTGTATGATATACGTCCACCCTTATGGTGCCTCACCCTCCACGGCGCGTCACGCCAAGGGAAGCAACTCTCACCCAAATCACTTTCCATATGTCTAATGCTGACGGAATGTGGGGAGGCGGGTGGCCGTGCCCCAAGGAGGATTTCATCAGAGAATTCATAACCTCTACAGGTTTGTAAAATTCTCTTTCAGATTAAATCCTCCTTGGGGCACTTATTGCATCAAGATAGACTCCTAAAGATAATCTAGGAAGTGGCATCCGTCAGCAACAAGCGTGCATAAATACATCGTATTTTGATTATTTCAATGAATAAACAAGAGTTCAATAAATGGAACCAACCTTATCGTGAGGCACCACCGTCGAAAGGCGGGGGCTGGAGACAGGGCGTTACACAATGAAAAGAGCCATTCTTTGTGGCTTATCATATCGAGAACTCGAGACACACACACCCCCCACCCCACCCACTTTTTTGAACAAGTGATATTGGGGGCACAGATCACGAGAGACTATAAACCCGCACAGAGCTAGGTAGCAGGCACCGGAGTGTGCTTTATCCCGGAGAAGGGGGGCGGATGATGTTTCCACCGAGGCAAATGGCCATCCCTTAGAGTGGACAGGGTCCAGGGATTGGATGTGACTGTCTCCCATTCCTGCAGGAATAGAGCCAGTCGGCCGCCTACGGGGACATCCGGCTTGAGGCAGTGGACCCCGGCTGTCGGCAGTTCGATAACATGCGACCGTGGGTCTGCCCGGGGCGCTTCGGGCGCTAATGGGAACCCGATGGGTTGCCGGCCCCGCGAAAAGGCTGCTGGCCTCGACCAGCTGCCCTGCCCCGGCCCCTGCCTCTCTTGCTCCTCCCGGCGCCCTTACCTGAAGGAAGCGGCTGCTTCCAAGCAGGTGCAGACTTCTGACCCGGCGCATCAGCGTAGGAGGAAGCAAGTGGAGAGGTCCGCTTACGCGGTTTAACGCATGGTACCTCCAACAAGGCCTTAGAATCCTTGATGGAGGCATACAACTGTGCGGCCTCTCGGACCACCTGCTGAGCCCCAGGGAAGAGGGTGGCACCCATCTTATAAGGCAAAGCAAGTAAATCCTGGCGTGTGGAAGCCGAGTATTTGGATACCGACATCCACAGCCTGCGCATGCCCATGACTGCGCACATCATCTGCGAGGCACAGCTACGAATAGCTTCCCTCGCAAGATGACTATGTACCTCCGTAAGTTGCGCGGCCAACTCCGAAGAGTCGGCCGGCCCCTCTCCCGCCAACTCCCTCTGTACGGCCGACAGATAAGCGGAGTGTATGGACACCCGGAGCTGCTGACATGCGTTACGATATTGCTCTTCGAAGCAAACGTAAGCAGCCTTCAGCTCCGTACCGCACGCGGGAAAGGGTGGCAACCGCCGGCCCTGCTTGACCTTAGCCAAGTTGGGGGTCGAAGACCCCCCCAGGGTAACGGAGGTCCAGACGCATTCGTCCACCACCGGTACCTCAAAATCACCATCCTCTGCTAACGGGTACCGCTTAATAAGTTCGGGCAGGTCGAACTTCCTGCGGGCACCCGACAACAGAGGGTTGATGACTTCATGCACCAATGAGGACAGAATACGGAGCCGCACCTGGGGCGCCTTGCTCGGAGCAAAAGCGTCCCCCAGAAGGCGGAACTCAGTCGGATCCGACTGGGGCATGGGCGCAGCCACCTGAGGCAGTACCTGGACAATCTTGTCCCGTACATGCCTCAACGAGGAAACGGGCTAGAAATCCGCTAGAGGAAGCCTCGGCCTCGGAAGAGGCGTCTGGCTCCGCTAGGGAGAACTGTGCGTCGGTAGTGAACGGGCCAGTGCCCGCCACCCCTCCGCTGGGGAGCGACCTCGAGCCGGCGCCGAACCCCGGTCTGAGATCGTCCCCGAGACCAAGTGGCCTGCCTCGGCCGACGCCGGGCATATCACAAGGTCTCGAAGCCGCGTCCGGCGCCGACAACGGGGAAGGCTCGGTCCGCATCTCCTCTCGGAGCTGAGACTTTACCTCCTCCATCATCGACGCCATCTGCGACCTCAACAAGGCAGAGATGTCTGCCAAAGACGGTGCAGGAGAGGGTGCAGTGATTGTGACGGGGACCCTAGAGCCTTCTCCCCCGGACCCCGGGGAGGGAGCGGAGGAGACAGTCTCAGCTGCTTTTTTACCCTTCTTACTTTTTTAGAGGGGGGGGGGGGCGGTCCTTGCCGATTTAATGTCCACCCCCGCCTTCAATAGACCCTTAAAATGTAAGAGGTCCACATTTCTCTTTTTCTGCGCCCGTGGTGTGAATGCAACACAGATCCAAACACTTTATGCAAGTATCATGCCTGTCTTGGGGGGGAATCGAAGCCGAGCACCTCGTACACAGTTTGAAGGTCTGTAAAAAAGACCGTAATTTTTTAGTTTGGCGGGAAGGGTAATAAAGTGTATCAGTGCGATTGAAAGATCGGAAAGATACGTGCATAAATTGTGTAACTAGAAGCAAAGGCGTAATTTAGAATGCGATTGGTAACGCGATACTAATAGCCAATGTCGTAGTATAATTATAACACCAAAGTGGGCGTGTTACGCGCGAAGGTGTAAAAAACCCGTAAAAAAGGTAAGTGAAATTTAAAAATAATTAACACATCACCTTGGGTTTAATTTAAAGGAAAAGATTGTAGGTTAAAGCCCGATGATATAACATTAAAAAACCCAAGCGGTTTTTGATGGCCCTGGTGTTACATGTATCATACGTGGCACTACAAAATGGACGCTACGACGGCCTTTGATTCAAAGGTATCGTACACGTGTCACATAATTACAACTTTATAACTTTATAATGCGAGGTATTACGCCTTTGCATGAAAGAAATGTACCATACATACAGTTTGGTCTGCCATGGTTCTTGTACGAACGTTATCTTGTACTTTGTTTTGTCTTGAAAAAAACAGCACGTCTGTCTTTGTCAGATGACATAATGAAAGTGATTTGGGTGAGAGTTGCTTCCCTTGGTGTGACGCGCCGTGGAGGGTGAGGCACCATAAGGGTGGACGTATATCATACAAAAACAAAGTTTTTTGTGTGGTAACAATTTTTATTAAGGAAAATGGTTACAACTATGTCATGTAGATTTTCTTGAGCCAGGAAAATGCAATAAGTGCCCCAAGGAGGATTTAATCTGAAAGAGAACTTACATCCTGCTGATACTGAGGACAGATCACTGTGTCCGGTTAGGGCCCTTAAGTATTATCTTAAGGCCTCGAATGAACGCAGACAAGAAGGGCGTGACCATCTGGTGTAACCCTAATCGGACTGCTGACATAACTTGAAACTTGATTCATCAATCTGGCGTACTGGTCTCGGGGGTAACCGGTTGCGGGGTCAAACCCGCACGAGATCAGGGCGCTAGCGGCAACATTTGCCCTACACTCCAATATCTCTGTTCACAGAATATTGAGAGGTTGTTACTGGCGTTCTGCCTCGGTTTTTGCCAATCATTACCTCAGAAAGGTTTCTGATGAAGACGTAGAGGTTGTGCACAGTCTTGGGCCGCTGATCGCGGCACAAGCAGTCATCTAAGGGGTGTGCCCAACGCAATTCCGAACTCCTATGTCATCAGACCTTGCACGGTGGTCAATCTGGGTCGACTCCAATGTTCCCAATGCCGTGGGTACAGGAGTGGGGGTCCTGCAAAACAGAGCACTCACACCACAGGTGAGGCGGCTTTTTGTGTGTTTTGTCCTTATTTGTATTTTGACAACTATGTATTTAATTGTCTGTCGTGTATTCCAACCTTGTAATGCATGCTTACAAATACTGGAATTAGGTCACGCGCCTAATGCATACTTAAAGTAGGCTTGCTCTTGGATATACGGTCTGAATGAAATTAATTTCCCTCTTTTCGACTGTTTAACCTGATCTAAGATTTAGCTCACAAGGATACTGTGTTCTCATCCGCTGTGGCAATGAAATACCTATCCAGTGAGGCCGTTGGGAGTCACCAATCATTTGGCAAAGACGATTGAGCCTTACGGTATGCGCTTGACAGTGCTTTGGTATTCCTATAGGGTAACGCCTAGCTAGGAGCATGTGCATCGAGTGCTTCCACCTTGTTGTTTACTTCCGCTGGTCGGAAGGAACACGAGCAGTCAGGTTCGGGTTGTAGGTGCTCCCCACCGCCTACTGTGGTAGTCAGCCTCGGTATAACAGTGGTAACGTATTACTTAATGTAATTTGCAGAATTTTCCTATTTGGATTATTCTATAAGTAATACGTTACCACTTGAGGTGATGCCTGCTCGACCGTCCCCCGAGCACTTGCTCTCACTAGAGACAAGAGAGAAGGGTGTCACATGGCAGCTAGGTGGCTACGCACGGGCTGCATGAGGTAATTGAGATCTCTGTGGAAGATTTTGCTATAATAGCAGTTGTGGGAGACAACAGCCTCGGTATAACAGTGGTAACGTATTACTTATAGAATATTCCGAATAGGAACATTCTACAAAACAGACTCACTCTCACATAGGCTTTCAAGAGCCCTTTTTTATTGGGCTCAACTATTTGTTGGGAATTAAACCCTTCTTGTTGATCATGAAAATGTTAAATTATTCATGTGGTCTTCCTTTTATGTGGTATGGGTGATAAGATGTTATGAATGTGGATGAAGTGTCTGACTGAACTGTCTGATGTTGGGAGTGTTTGTTCCAGCACTGGGAGGAGAGTGTCCAAAGGATAGCCAATGAACAAGAGCTGTACCAGGGTAAGTTGGGAGTCAGAACACCTCAAGGTCATGTTGGGGCCCAGGAAAATATCTAGTGTCTTCAGATCAAATGCCTGGTATTATCCATTGACCTATTAACAAATGTTTTTGTTTGACAGTGTCACCATCAACTGATTTTGTTATCCACTTGTTGGAAGTTTAATTCAAATAAACCATCATCATAATATTTACTGCCTTTCTGCTGTGGTGGACCTGAAAAGTTCAAATATTGCACCTCCTTCTTACACTCTCTTGTTTGACTGCAGCTCAGTGCCAGGATGTTGTGAGACTCCAGCTGGAGACAAAGCACCTGAAGGTCATCACAGCCCAGCTGACCTCCTACATCTCATCCATAGCCTCCGTCACAGAGAGACTCGCACCCAAGTAGGTACCACATAGCCTCCGTCACAGAGAGACTCGCACCCAAGTAGGTACCAAATAGCCTCCGTCACAGAGAGACTCGCACCCAAGTAGGTACCACATAGCCTCCGTCACAGAGAGACTCGCACCCAAGTAGGTACCACATAGCCTCCGTCACAGAGAGACTCGCACCCAAGTAGGTACCACATAGCCTCCTTCACAGAGAGACTCGCACCCAAGTAGGTACCACATAGCCTCCGTCACAGAGAGACTCGCACCCAAGTAGGTACCACATAGCCTCCGTCACAGAGAGACTCGCACCCAAGTAGGTACCACATAGCCTCCTTCACAGAGAGACTTGCACCCAAGTAGGTACCCCATAGCCTCCGTCACAGAGAGACTCGCACCCAAGTAGGTACCCCATTATCTCCGTCACAGAGAGACTCGCACCCAAGTAGGTACCCCATTATCTCCGTCACAGAGAGACTCGCACCCAAGTAGGTACCACATAGCCTCCGTCAGAGTGAGACTCGCACCCAAGTAGGTACCCCATTGCCTCCGTCACAGAGAGACATGCACCCAAGTAGGTACCTTGTAGTCTTCATCACAGAGAGACTCGCACCCAAGTAGGTACCCCATTGCCTCCGTCACAGAGAGACATGCACCCAAGTAGGTACCCCATTGCCTCCGTCACAGAGAGACATGCACCCAAGTAGGTACCTTGTAGTCTTCATCACAGAGAGACATGCACCCAAGTAGGTACCCCATTGCCTCCGTCACAGAGAGACATGCACCCAAGTAGGTACCACATAGCCTCCGTCACAGAGAGACTCGCACCCAAGTAGGTACCCCATTGCCTCTGTCACAGAGAGACATGCACCCAAGTAGGTACCCCATTGCCTCCGTCACAGAGAGACATGCACCTAAGTAGGTACCCCATTATCTCCATCACAGAGAGACTCGCACCCAAGTAGGTACCTTGTAGTCTTCATCACAGAGAGACTCGCACCCAAGTAGGTACCCCATTGCCTCTGTCACAGAGAGACATGCACCCAAGTAGGTACCCCATTGCCTCCGTCACAGAGAGACATGCACCTAAGTAGGTACCCCATTATCTCCGTCACAGAGAGACTCGCACCCAGGTAGGTACCTTGTAGTCTTCATCACAGAGAGACTTGCACCCAAGTAGGTACCCCATTGCCTCTGTCACAGAGAGACATGCACCCAAGTAGGTACCCCTTTATCTCCGTCACAGAACGACATGCACCCAAGTAAGTACCTTGTAGTCTCCGTCACAGAGAGACATGCACCCAAGTAGGTACCCCATAGTCTCCGTCACAGAGAGACTCGCACCCAAGTAGGTACCACATAGCCTCCGTGTCAGAGAGACTCGCACCCAAGTAGGTACCCCATAGCCTCCGTCACAGAGAGACTCGCACCCAAGTAGGTACCCCATTATCTCCGTCACAGAGAGACTCGCACCCAAGTAGGTACCCCATAGCCTCCGTCACAGAGAAACTCGCACCCAAGTAGGTACCCCATTATCTCTGTCACAGAGAGACTCGCACCCAAGTAGGTACCTTGTAGTCTTCATCACAGAGAGACTCGCACCCAAGTAGGTACCCCATTGCCTCTGTCACAGAGAGACATGCACCCAAGTAGGTACCCCATTGCCTCCATCACAGAGAGACATGCACCTAAGTAGGTACCCCATTATCTCCATCACAGAGAGACTCGCACCCAAGTAGGTACCTTGTAGTCTTCATCACAGAGAGACTTGCACCCAAGTAGGTACCCCATTGCCTCTGTCACAGAGAGACATGCACCCAAGTAGGTACCCCTTTATCTCCGTCACAGAGAGACTCGCACCCAAGTAGGTACCTTGTAGTCTTCATCACAGAGAGACTTGCACCCAAGTAGGTACCCCATTGCCTCTGTCACAGAGAGACATGCACCCAAGTAGGTACCCCATTGCCTCTGTCACAGAGAGACATGCACCCAAGTAGGTACCCCATTATCTCCGTCACAGAGACACTCGCACCCAAGTAGGTACCACATAGCCTCCTTCACAGAGAGACTCGCACCCAAGTAAGTACCTTGTAGTCTCCGTCACAGAGAGACATGCACCCAAGTAGGTACCCCATTATCTCCTTCACAGAGAGACTCGCACCCAAGTAGGTACCACATAGCCTCCGTGTCAGAGAGACTCGCACCCAAGTAGGTACCCCATAGCCTCCGTCACAGAGAGACTCGCACCCAAGTAGGTACCCCATTATCTCCGTCACAGAGAGACTCGCACCCAAGTATGTACCCCATAGCCTCCGTCACAGAGAAACTCGCACCCAAGTAGGTACCCCATTATCTCCGTCACAGAGACACTCGCACCCAAGTAGGTACCACATAGCCTCCGTGTCAGAGAGACTCGCACCCAAGTAGGTACCCCATAGCCTCCGTCACAGAGAGACTCGCACCCAAGTAGGTACCCCATTATCTCCGTCACAGAGAGACTCGCACCCAAGTAGGTACCACATAGCCTCCGTCACAGAGAGACTCACACCCAAGTAGGTACCCCATTGCCTCCGTCACAGAGAGACATGCATCCAAGTAGGTACCTTGTAGTCTTTATCACAGAGAGACTCGCACCCAAGTAGGTACCCCATTGCCTCCGTCACAGAGAGACATGCACCCAAGTAGGTACCCCATTGCCTCTGTCACAGAGAGACATGCACCCAAGTAGGTACCCCATTGCCTCTGTCACAGAGAGACATGCACCCAAGTAGGTACCCCATTGCCTCTGTCACAGAGAGACATGCACCCAAGTAGGTACCCCATTGCCTCTGTCACAGAGAGACATGCACCCAAGTAGGTACCCCATTGCCTCTGTCACAGAGAGACATGCACCCAAGTAGGTACCCCATTGCCTCTGTCACAGAGAGACATGCACCCAAGTAGGTACCCCATTGCCTCTGTCACAGAGAGACATGCACCCATGTAGGTACCCCATTATCTCCGTCACAGAGAGACTCGCACCCAAGTAGGTACCTTGTAGTCTTCATCACAGAGAGACTCGCACCCAAGTAGGTACCCCATTGCCTCTGTCACTGAGAGACATGCACCCAAGTAGGTACCCCACTGCCTCCATCACAGAGAGACATGCACCCAAGTAGGTACCCCATTATCTCCGTCACAGAGAGACATGCACCCAAGTAGGTACCCCATTATCTCCGTCACAGAGAGACTTGCACCCAAGGAGGTACCCCATTATCTCCGTCACAGAGAGACATGCACCCAAGTAGGTACCTTGTAGTCTTCATCACAGAGAGACATGCACCCAAGTAGGTACCCCATTGCCTCTGTCACAGAGAGACTTTCACCCAAGTAGGTACCACATAGCCACCGTCACAGAGAGACATGCACCCAAGTAGGTACCCCATTGCCTCTGTCACAGAGAGACTCGCACCCAAGTAGGTACCCCATTGCCTCCGTCACAGAGAGACATGCACCCAAGTAGGTACCTTGTAGTCTTCATCACAGAGAGACATGCACCCAAGTAGGTACCCCATTGCCTCCGTCACAGAGAGACATGCACCCAAGTAGGTACTCCATTGCCTCCGTCACAGAGAGATATACACCCAAGTAGGTACCCTATGGACTCTGAGTAGAGAGTACGTTTAAGTGGATCCTATTTGTGCTGGTGAGTTCTGTTTTCATGACAGTTTAGGGGTTTAATGGCCATGAAGACTCCAGCAGACCTGATGTTTGACAGACACAAAATGGTAGTATACATGTTTTGTTTTCCACTTCTGTGTGCATTTGATCCTTGCTATGCTAACCTGTCAGTATTAGACTCTTTCTCGCTGCCATGCATCACATTGCTCTAACATGAATGTTCTCTCCAGCTTGTAAAGAGAACCAGCGTTTGTCACGTTCTTATGCACTGCTACATTTTCATAAACACACATTCAGGGCCAAGAATGTCATGAATGAATTGATAACATACTCTTGATCGCAGTTGTATGCAGCTTCATAATATATTTAGTGTGATTTCTACTGAACACATTTACCTTATTGAGACCTAGGGTACACAGACATTTGCATGACAAGTTGCGTGTGAGGAGGTCGCTGTCAGCATGTGTGACACTTCATGTATGTTTCTGTCGCCAGGCTTGGCCAGTCTACGAATGACACGGAGCATGACAATCAGATGCATGCATTGTTGGACGAGATCAACGCTGTGCACCCAGACTCCCAACAGAGGTCAGATATTAGCACAATGTCTCCACAAATAGCCTTGTGGGGGCCTTGTATTTCAAGTCGATTGTCTGCACTAAGTCAGTAGCTAGGTGACTTGGGGAAACTTGTAAATGATTATGTTAGTGTTTAAAGATAGATAAGGGACTGGTCATTTTTACATGGAGTTCAGGGGTATCTGATGTCTCTTACTGAATATGTGTATCATATTTTATAATGTAATCCCATAATGCTTGGCATATTTTGGATGACCCCCCACCTTGTCCTTGTCCTTTTAAGACAAACTGTGAAAGCACTTTATATTTTATTATAACCTGTTCATTTTTTCATATCCAACCATGAATATTTGTATTATTTTTTATGACCCTCCCTAGAGACTGTCATATTTCATGGTGACTCTCCCCTGTTTCTCTCTGACCCACCCATCCCTATAATAAACACCCAAAGGGGTAGGCCATATCTCAGCTGTGGCTGGTTTATGCTGTGGCTGTTGACAGTGCTCACACCATGGGGTAGGCCATATCTCAGCTGTGGCTGGTTTATGCTGTGGCTGTTGACAGTACTCACACCGTGGGGTAGGCCATATCTCAGCTGTGGCTGGTTTATGCTGGCAGTGTTGACAGTGCTAACACCATGGGGTAGGCCATATCTCAGCTGTGGCTGGTTTATGCTGTGGCTGTTGACAGTGCTCACACCGTGGGGTAGGCCATATCTCAACTGTGACTGGTTTATGCTGGCACTGTTGACAGTGCTCACAACATGGGGTAGGCCATATCTCAGCTGTGACTGGTTTATGCTGTGGCTGTTGACAGTGCTCACACCGTGGGGTAGGCCATATCTCAGCTGTGACTGGTTTATGCTGGCAGTGTTGACAGTGCTCACACCATGGGGTAGGCCATATCTCAGCTGTGGCTGGTTTATGCTGGCACTGTTGACAGTGCTCACACTGTGGGGTAGGCCATATCTCGGCTGTGGCTGGTTTATGCTGGCAGTGTTCACCATTGCCTGATCCAGGTCATCTACACTGTGAGATGATGATAATAACAGGTTCTCCATTCAGTCACTTTTGAATCCTACATGAGGGGAAGAAAGAGATTGCCAATGTTCAGACAGGTAGTCACAGGTGGTGTTGAAGCACTTAGGCAACTACACACAGCAATGTTTGATAACCATGTCATATTATCATGTACTAACATATTTCACAATTTTGAACAGAGTTGATGCCATTCAGACAGCTGAAGACATCCGGCAGGTAAACACAGCCAATCGGAAGAACCCTCTGGATGATGAGCTGATCAAAACCAAGGGACTGCTTCGGGCGCCCTCCCTCCGCAGAGACAGTTCTACCAAGAAAGATGCCTCCACGACACAAACTGTGCAAGGAAAAGATACAGCGGAAGAGGACAAGGAAAATATCCGGTTAGAGAATGTGCAGCCAGTTAAGTTAACTCCAACTTGACTCCTCGAGGAGGACAACAGTATGGCCACCAAGAAGAACGACCAAGATAAGCAATGAAGCTTTGTGGTAGTACTCCACACAGGCTTCAGATGTTACGAGATATTTTAGGCACTTTTGTATCTGAAGGTTGACTTACTGGTGGTGCAATATATTATTAATAAAATTAAGTAAGGAAGAGCACTTTTAGTGGCTCTTTTGACAGTACTTGTTTGAATAACAAAATCTGCCATTTTGCCATTTTTCCATCACTACTGAAGTCTTTCATGAGATATTACATTAATTTCATTCCTATCAACTGCCATTATCCCGTGGTGGTGAAGTTGTTTCCACGTTTAAACAGTGATGTAATAACTCCATCAATTCACTGTAACTTGCAGCTATACCATCCTTGGTGTGGCCACACGAATGTAGCGTACTTGGTGTGGCCTCATGAAGGTAGTGTACGTGATGTGGTCTCATGAAGGTAGCGTACTTGGTGTGGTCTCATGAAAGACCATCCTTGGTGTGATAACACTGAGGTACCATCCTTGGTGTGATAACACGGAGGTACCATCCTTGGTGCGGCCTCACGAATGTAGCGTACTTGGTGTGGCCTCACGAATGTAGCGTACTTGGTGTGGCCTCATGAAGGTAGCGTACTTGGTGTGGCCTCATGAAGGTAGCGTACTTGGTGTGGCCTCACGAATGTAGCCTACGTGATGTGGTCTCATGAAGGTAGCGTACGTGATGTGGTCTCATGAAGGTAGCGTACTTGGTGTGGCCTCATGAAGGTAGCGTACTTGGTGTGGCCTCATGAAGGTAGCGTACGTGATGTGGTCTCATGAAGGTAGCGTACTTGGTGTGGCCTCATGAAGGTAGCGTACTTGGTGTGGCCTCATGAAGGTAGCGTACGTGATGTGGTTTCATGAAGGTTGCGTACGTGATGTGGCCTCATGAAGGTAGCGTACTTGGTGTGGCCTCATGAAGGTAGCGTACTTGGTGTGGCCTCATGAAGGTAGCGTACGTGATGTGGTCTCATGAAGGTAGCATACGTGATGTGGTCTCATGAAGGTAGCATACGTGATGTGGTCTCATGAAGGTAGCGTACGTGATGTGGTCTCATGAAGGTAGCGTACTTGGTGTGGCCTCATGAAGGTAGCGTACTTGGTGTGGCCTCATGAAGGTAGCGTACGTGATGTGGTCTCATGAAGGTAGCGTACTTGGTGTGGCCTCATGAAGGTAGCATAATTGGTGTGGCCTCACGAATGTAGCGTACGTGATGTGGTCTCATGAAGGTAGCGTACTTGGTGTGGTCTCATGAAAGACCATCCTTGGTGTGATAACACTGAGGTACCATCCTTGGTGCGGCCTCACTCACTATATAGTAACACTAAAATCGATTGAAAATAGTGCTGAGTGGCATAATCAGTCTAGTAGGCTCAACAGTTCTGGGCACAGACTATAACTGCCTTACTGTCCAAAGCTGTGCTAAGTCAAACTCACATATCCTCTCATTCAATGACCATCACATCAATATACAGATTTGTTTTCACCGTATCATGTTACACACCAGCATATCTGTGATTCTTCACCAGAGGCTACTGACTGTCACTGGCTTTCAATGAATTAGATAATCTACAGTGATGTTGTAAAGTAATGCTGATATATACATTACACCAAGTAAATGAATATTTACATGATTACTTGTTTAGAATTAAAACATTTTAATGTCTTTTATTTATTGGTAACTTAATATACTCATTAACATTTATTAATGTGATAGAGAATGACCATTGTCTCAGGTACATCTCCTCTTTACAGATGAGTCTCTCTCAATTTACTTTGTGCTCCACTTTCTGATTCCGTTTCTGAACTGTAACGAATTTGTTGACAATGTCTATGCAAAGCCGCCATCGTGCTGGGTCTGTTTCATGTTAATGTTTGCTGACACACCCACAGTTGATCTTCCATTCACATATGACACGTTCCCACGATTAGTGCCTCACTTTGACATAAATGAAGATCTTGATGTCATGAATTATTGGCAATGTGAATATCATGCTTTTGTAGGTGTTTCCTGTCATCCATTGTGTTCCTGAATATTGCTGATGGGTGGGAGGGGGGGTGAACATGTTCAACCAGTGTACAAGAAAGACTGGCAACTCTACTCCGATGTATATGTCCATTCATTATTTTTATTACCCTCCCAAAGTGATTACCGGTATCCATTCTTCACCTAAAAAATACCCAAAGCACATTGTTTTACTGATAATAACACAGCTTATCAATAGGCTAACTATGAAACTATAGTTATAGTCCATTATGATCATGTTATGTTTTGGGGTGACTTTCCCTGTGCAACTCTGAAATGTTTCAACAGGTAGAAAAATACTATCACCCTGACTGGGGCTGGGAGTGGCAGTGGGTGGGGGAACTCTCAGCCTCACTGGGGGTGGGAGTGGCGGTGGGTGGAGTAACTCTCACCCTGACTGGGGCTGGGAGTGGCAGTGGGTGGAGTAACTTTCTGCCTCACTGGGGCCGGGAGTGGCGGTGGGTGGGCTAACTCTCACCCTGACTGGGGGTGGGAGTGGCGGTGGGTGGAGTAACTTTCAGCCTCACTGGGGGTGGGAGTGGCAGTGGGTGGAGTAACTCTCACCCTGACTGGGGGTGGGAGTGGCAGTGGGTGGAGTAACTCTCACCCTGACTGGGGGTGGGAGTGGCAGTAGGTGGAGTAACTCTCAGCCTCACTGGGGGTGGGAGTGGCGGTGGGTGGAGTAACTCTCATCCTCACTGGGGATGGGGTAACTCTCACCCTGACTGGGGGTGGGAGTGGCGGTGGGTGGGGTCACTCTCACCCTGACTAGGGGTGGAAGTGGCGGTGGGTGGGGTAACTCTCACCCTGACTGGGGGTGGGAGTGGCGGTGGGTGGGGTAACTCTCACCCTGACTGGGGGTGGGAGTGGCGGTGGGTGGAGTAACTCTCACCCTGACTGGGGGTGGGAGTGGCGGTGGGTGGAGTAACTCTCACCCTGACTGGGGGTGGGAGTGGCGGTGGGTGGAGTAACTCTCACCCTGACTGGGGGTGGAAGTGGCGGTGGGTGGAGTAACTCTCACCCTGACTGGGGGTGGGAGTGGCGGTGGGTGGAGTAACTCTCACCCTGACTGGGGGTGGGAGTGGCGGTGGGTGGAGTAACTCTCACCCTCATGAAGGGGGTAACCTGATTGGAGGATAACTCTCACCCTGACTTGGGTCTGCAGAGACCCTACGAGCTGCAGGGCTGTTCCTTGGGCAAATAACAATGACAAAAACATTAATAAACAAACTGCCAGCCCCCTAGCCCCCCAAACTCCATGTATTTGCAAGGGTGTTAGGGACACTCTATTTATCCCTATTTTGCCCTGGTTCTACAGCTCACGAAATTCACTGGTTGAATCTCTTCTGTCTGCTCCCTGTCATCCTTGTTCAGCTGCTGCCACTGGCTGTGAGGCAGACAAGGTCTTGTGTTGTCATTGTGGTCCTGCCACTGCAGATGTGATGTGTTGACGTACTCCGCAGAACACCACATGATTGTTATTGAGAACAACCTGATGCAATAATTGTGTGCTCAATTTATTCCTATATTTATAATGCTGTGTAGAGTTTTGAAGATATAGATATATTTAACTGGAGAAATAATCAGGGAAACTGAAGTAACTGAGACTACCTTGTGTGTGTTTGTTGACTTTGTTGTAGGATTGTTATTACATTACACACAGGTTCAGCCTGTTATGGCTTCAAATAGTGTCAGGGAAGGTGGGATCAGAAGCCACATGGCCACTGTGTGACAGCTTTGTCTCGAGTCTCATTATCCAGCTGATCCAGTATCAGAGATGACATTCTTAGTTCTCTGGCACTCTGATCTTGCATCAGAGAAATATGATGACAGTTTTCTTTAATTTTACAAAAACCCTTTTCACACCTAGTTATCCCATCTGTTACTCTAAACACATAGATGTTTGCACACATGCATCTTGCCAAAGGACAATCTAAGATTGGTGTCATAGTGAGATATGCCATATACAAAAGACTTGAAAAGTTGTGAAATTTGGACCATGAAATATGGCTAGGGTATCCTACAGTGATATTATTGAATGATATTATTTTTCAGTTACCATGGTTATTGTAAATACATGTGGTTTACACAAATCAATCTTCCACAGTTGAAGATCTTCACTATGACAATGTATTCTGTTTTTGAGTATTCATGCACTTATGTTTTATTGCACCAAGTTTTTCTTTATTTCTATTCAACTTTGTCAACAGTGATACATATGCTTATGTTCAAATTTTGTTGATCGTACTTAGAAGTCCTTTTCTGTAAGCTGTCAACAGGACCACTGTAAGCCCATTCTAATAGGGTCACAGTATTTGTTGGGTAGAACTTGCTACTGGTGTCAAATTTCATCCAAAGACATCCTTAGCATGTTAAGAGCCTGTCTGAATAAACCGATATTCTTACATATTCCTATCTTGCCCAACACAGTGCATGTTTTACTTGAGTATAAGTACTTGATTGGTATTACATGTTTGAAGTAGCTGATATGTGATTGGACAGATTAAGTTTTTGTACTCTAGATTTGGTCATGGACATGAAGGCTGACAATGGTAGACTCCATGAGAAGAACTGCATTGCTTCTGACCAAGTTTGGCTCATGCATGAAATTGTCTTGGCAGGAAAAATATAATTTTTTTAAACCATGTTGATGGTAGTCATCTATTTTATGATAATCTACCTGATACCTCATAGGAAAATCTATCTTAGTCATGGTCAAAGTAAT